GGACCGGGACCTGGACTTTGACGACTTGGGGGGCACCTTGCTCTGGGAAGAGCCAGCCACTCGGAAGCGACTCGCAGCCACTCAACAACCAGGGGTAGGCAGGGTGTGGACGTTGAAAGGGGACCGGTCCCAGAGAACTGTGGGCGGTGATCCGTTCTGTTTGCCGTTTTGATTTTGCGTGGACGTCGCCAGGTGCTGATTACGTCTGAGTATGAAGTTCAAATTATGAAGTGATGAGTTTTGGTCAAGTATCCATTCATTCAAAGCAACCCTGAGAAAGGGTGCCAGGGTACCTGTGAAAAGAGGCTAAAGCAGCTTTTTTTGGAAAAGTCGATCGTCAAAACGGGGCTGGCTTAAGAATCTTGGGTCCTGAGCTTTCGTAGATTTTGGCCGTGGCTCACATGGGTGTATATATATATATATACATTTGTGTCAATACAAATCATCACTTCGGTTTTCCATTAAATCACGGTGAAAGTGTACCCTCAATAAAGCCCCCAACCTGGAAGTTGAGAAGTTCCACGTGGCCCCTCAACTCGGGATGGTGAGAGCTGACAAAGATAGTTTGTATAGAAACAGACGATATACCATAGTTGCAGGGCCTGGTTCCTTGGGTTTGGTCAAGGGGAATACTCATGAACCGTCTACAGCTCTCCCTGGTATCTGCAACATGGCAAGGCTTGGATACTGACCCTTCGAAAGGTCAAAACATATCAAGCAATTCCTGTAATTTGGTACAGGGTCCCTGTGTTGGACCTCCAAAAGGGACAGTGTTATAGGAATGCCCGACTGAGTTGCCACTTTTGACGGGGAAATGCAAGGGACCTCCGTTGATGTGCCAGGCCATCCAAAAGGGGTCCCTTGTCCGATTTCGGCGTACCTTCACTTTCTAGAGTTGGCGGAGCTTTGCTTTTTAGGTCTTAGTCCGAGGCCTCACAAGCTCGGATTCTTCGCTCAACTCAGCAGGTTCAATGGTTGCCCTGCTCTTGAAAGATGCTCCATTTCACGAAGTCCCCTCAAACCAGTGATCAGTCTTTGACTCGGCAGTTTGGGGGTCCCATATCCAGGGTCCACAACCAGAGACAAATTATATACTCTTGTTGCAGGGGGCGTCCAAGGCCAAACAAGCTTGAGTCAGGCAGACAATGTGCGGACGCTGTGGTACGTGCTGTACCTGTCGCAGGATGCAGCAGGAAACGGCCGACAGCAGGCTGGGAACGGGCAAAAGACAGATGTTCAACCAAAGATAATGCCACGTTTCTGCCGTGCACGGCAGTCAGTTGACGGTGTGTTTTGCTTATGTGAGTGTCGCCGAAAGAGGAGGGGTGACTGAAACTGATGTAGGCGGGGGCGAAGTTGTCCTTAGAATAAATGAGTTTGTCAACTCTGAAAGTCAAATTGCTCGGGTGCGATCAGTAACCCCTAATTTGCAGTTTTGTTAAAAGGAGACCAAAGATAAAGGATATTAAGTCTCCTTGACTTGCTTAATCCTGGGGCTAGGATCCTTTGGGTTTCCCTTTAAGCCCCATCCAAAAGGGGGGTCCATTTCTTGTTGGACAAGCTTCCCAGGTCGTTTTTCCTCAATATTTCCTCTAGACAGCGTCCTGCCAAACAAACAATCAGCTTGGCATCTCCGCAAGGTGTTTTTGAACAAACAGCTCGGGGGAAATGGGGTAGGTCTTTCGGTCAAAAAAAAGAAGCTTCAAGGCGAAACCACCCAATCTTGCGGGCCGCATAAACAGTTGGATACACACCCATATAGGCACCCAGGTTCTGATGTATTCCCTGAGGTCACTTCAGGTCGATTCGGTCAGATGGTTGGCGTCAAAAATGGGATCGAGGAACACTCTCCCGCAAACCAAGCGACTTGATCTTTTGACCTTGGGTTGTTTTGGCATGGTGTCCCAATCGAGAACTTCTTGAGTGTTCAAATAGCTTCTTTATTTCTGTTTTCAATTGGACCCCCCAGTCTGGATTAGTCAACCAACCCCCTGGTTAGATCAGGATCACAGTGCTGAACATTTCCCTACGGTGCCACGCCCGATTCAAGTATATATGGAAGGCCAATCAGGCAGCTGTTTTTCGGTGGTACAGAATGAGGCCGATGACCGACCCGCAAAATTGGAGCCTGGGGCTACAGTCAATTTGGGAGGAACAATTTTATGCACTAAGCAGGACTTACACTGTTAATAGGGTAACCGGCAACCACATATTGTTGACTGCGCGAGGTTCGGTCAACATGTTCAGTAATGTTTGTTCTGAATGTCACACAAAAGCCAGGGCGACTCGCTGATTGTCCACATGCCCATTACGGCAACAACAACTTTTGCCATGACTCATCCAACCGCCTGAAAATTCAATTGTCAAGGAATTTCTAGTAATTCAGGGCAGTGACCCTGTTTTGGACGCAAACACCAGCAAAGGCCTTGAACAAGAAAACACCCACAAATTAACGCACAACGCCACAACAAAAGGAGGCAAACACCCGCAAAAAGACGCAATAATCCGCAAAATGCCTAGAACCACCTTGAGAACCAGAACGCCTAGAATTTCCTCAGCATTTGAATGTCCTGGCTGTTGAACTTCCGTAAGCGGAATCGTGAGCCCTGGTGAGAACGCTTCACGTGCTCTCTGGAGCTGGTTTTGAATGGTTGTTGCTTGGGTGCTAGTCGGTGTTAGTTATTTGTTTACTCGGCTTTTCCTTTAAAGTTCAAGTAGCCTCGTGGACTTCCCCTTGGTTTGCCTGGCTATCCCTGAAACAACACCCCGCACGTAAAGGGGATGACACCGCCTTGCAGGTTCTGAAGCAAATGGTTTTTTCCCATTTTGTGAACCATCACCTGGCGGAAGGGTGAAATTGCCCACAGGTTGGGAGAGAGGCAGTGGGCGTCAACCAACTGCAGCTCCAGGCAGATACTACCCGCGTGGCTCGGACGCCATCTTGGGGTCCGGTTCTGTTGACAGCTAGGGACCAGGCTGGTCCTCTTTAAAATAGACTCACCCTGGAAATACAACTGGCTCCCTGAAAGTAAATAATTTGCTTTGGAGAACTTGTCTCCAAACAGTTGCAAAAAGGACCCCTCTACAACCAATCAAAGTTAGCAACTGTTGATATCCCCTTAAACGTAACATCTGAGCGGCGTCTTTGATGCCAAAATTGTGCAAGTCAGAGAAACCGTTCAACCTTGCATGTCCCAAATGGCAAGATGTTGTTTGCACATGACTCCGGGTAGCTTTCCCAATGTGCGTGATCTCAGGGTGCAATTCAAACACGTAAGAGCTACGAAGCAGGAGATGCGGAAAGCCTCAGATCTGAAAGTCTTGGGGATTGACTTTAAGTTTTTGCTTTGCTGAGGCGGCCTTTGATTTCTGGACTGTCTTCACAGAGTCCGCGTTGGTGGAGCAGACGACGCCAGTGGGCAGCCTAGTTGAGCAGTTCGGCGAATCTTCCGTGCTCTCGTGCTTCAAGACATAAGATCCTCACAATGCCAACGGGTGTTTGTTCCTTTTGGCGTCTGCTGAGCGTTGCTGAGCTGTTTGTTCCTTTTGTTTGGGCAGTCTTTCCCAATGAGCCACCGAAAGAGGGTGTCCTGATGTTTTGCTTCCTTGGTCGTTAATGGGTTTTGACAACGGGTTTGCTTTGACCCAGTGAGATCTTGACACAGGCACATCCGATCTACGAGGCGAAACCATGGTGGGACCTCATCAGGCGCCGGCAAAGGCTTTTGCCAGGCGTCATCGTTGCTTAGACTGGTGCGGTCTTGTCTTGTTGTTTGTTCAGGCAGTAGTGATCTATGGGCTCCTTATGCAAATCTGGCGCAGTAGTCAATACATTGTTAACGTCCTGCTTGTTGACCTGTTAATGCCTTTTTATAGCTCCTACACCTTGCACACATTGTTGGTTGGGTGTAAGGTGCTCTAATTACCTCTTGTTTTACTTGGGGCTTGAGACATTTTGCCTAAAGCCATAATTTACAGTAGCGTGGGTCACTGAGTAATAAGCGGGGACCCCCCCAGCACAAAGCCAGTTCACGGGAGTTGATAGAGGAACCTGCTAAAAAACAATGGCGTCACCCTGCTAGTAGTCTCTAACCATGTACCGTTTTAGTCTCGGTTTGGTATTGGCTTAGTTTCGGTTTGATATTGCTTAGTACTTGTTTAGTACTTGCTCAGTACCTCTGGGTCAATACAAGTTTCTTTTCTCGAGGTTCTTTTCTCAAGGACCTGCATACTTATGAACCACTTTATTGATTTTGGCACACTTTGATTAATTGGTGACCAACATTGCATTCTGTGTTTGTGTCTACTTTCATAATATGTAGAATACCACTTGTCAGCCCCAATGTTGCCATGGCACACATGTGATCGTTGTTTAGCAAATACACTACACAACTGCCGCGATAAATAAGTCGATAAAACGGGCTAGACAAACAGTAGCACAAATTGAACAACCAACACAAAACAAGTACTTTCTATACACAAACACGAGCAACGAACCAGATGCAAGAATAGCACACGTACAACACAGACACACACACACACACATCAGCAATACATCAGTAATCAAACATACACATATAAGTTATGATTAATTTTCCTTTTATGGGACTCCCAGGTTGCCTTGGCCTTGAGCGACACCATCGCCAGCGTGTCCGGGGTAAGCTTTCTGGACCTCGACCTGGACGAGGCGACTCGAGGGTTGCGGCGGGGCTGGCGGTTGAAGCCCTAGCAAAGCTCTATGAATACTGTACGAATACTAAGAAAGCCTAGCAACCGGTGGGTTTTGTCCACCTTGGCCAGGGGGTGCTCCGAACTTCAATGACCAACAAGAGCTCTGGTAGGTTCACAGCTGTTTTTGTTTGGACTTCAGCCGCTGCTCGCTACTTCAATTTCCCTGCCTCTGTTCATTCGAGAAGTTTTGAAAACCGAGTTTCCCTGTTGGTAGATACCTCTGGCCGACCATATCGACAGGGTTGACATGATAGAGACTTGTGGATTTAGCAGACATAACTGCTTCTCCCTTTAATACCAGCGAGTAATAATGGCATAGGTGGCCTTTGCTTTAGCTTGATTGAACATAGATGGATTCTATTGCTAAGTCTTTCCGACTCGAATCAAGGACACCAGCATTTCCGACACAACACCTAGGACCGGGGTTGATGTGGGGTTGAAATGGCCCATTCCAAACCAGTGGTGCCTATACCCAGTGGCAGCCTGATTCTGTTTGAAGGGGCCTTTATGTGTATGTATATATATATATAGAGGGATCCATGCTTCAACAGCTACTTCGTTGCCATGGGCCTTGCCAACACGAAACCAATAGGAGATGGCAGAGGTTTCAAAGGACGTGCAAATGATTATGTATGGGAGCATTTGTTTTGCGTGGCAGATATTGTATACGATAGACGCTTAAGGGTTGCAGCTACAGCTGTTGTTGCTTGGGTGAGTGAGCATAGCTTTCCTTTAACTGCAATGTGATTGTTTTGAACCCTAGTTGAAGAGTACTTTGAAGGGGGTCAAACAGTCATGAAATTGATTTCACTTTTTTCCAAGCGGGGAGGCAGATAAGGTCGTGAGCGTGAGTAAGAAACTGTCATGGGGTCTGCCTACTTTGTAGCGAGCGCACTTGGGGCTGAACGACTCATGAGTTGTTCTTTACTTAGAGGTTGCTTGTTTCGGGTTTGCAAACCACCTTGCGGTGGATGGTCAAAACCCAGTTTGCACTAGTTGGTTGATGGTGTGTCAACCAGCACTCATAGGCTTGCATCCGAAGTGGCTTTGCCTATCCACAAGGAGCCTTCCACCCGAGAGGCCTGGACCCTTAGTCTTGGACTTAGGGCGATTTTAAGGTATGATCTAGCACAATATCAGGGGCCTAGCCACTGCGAACATGTCGCCGTGGTTTTGCCTTAATTTAGTTTCAAGGTCCCCCCCCCCCTTTCTAGTCATTTTGTTTTTTGCACTATGTTTACAGACTGGTTGCCACTGGGAAAAGCGTCCATGTTGCGGTTATGCGTGTGTGTGTGTGTGCCTCCAGCCGTCCGGATTGAACAGATCCGACCCTGCGCAAGTCGTAGCCGTAGACAAGTTATTGAAGACCCAGAAGCGGGCGACTGCTGAAGCGAAGCAACCAGAGCTGAGCATGTATATTTAGAGGGTTCATGATGTTTAATGTTTATCCATATTCACCTTGGAAAGCAAGCAAAGGAAAGACCTCGCAGGACAAGTCCGAAAGGATAGTCTTCCGGGTTCTTGGTGAAGGATCAGTATACTAACAACCGTGGGCCCAGGGGGCGTCGTGGGGAGGGGCTTTGGCTATCACCTGTTCAGGGATAGGTCCCCATAACAAGTCCATGAAACCATGGGAGGTAAGTTCTTAGAAGAAGGTTTGAAAGGCCCACGTTTCTGGATGCCGCAATGTAGATATGCTGGCTGCGGAAATGATTGTGTTGGCATTTACCTCACCCAAAGAAGGTCATTGCAGGCTTGGCTGACTTGTCAAGAAACTCTGCTGGAACCCAGAATCAGATTGAAAGATTTTGAGCAATCCATTGCTTGATCCCCACCATGTGGCAGGCAACACCGTTCCAGGCAGGTTTTAGGAGCTTCCGAGGCTGTGTCGAAACATGCTCCTTGGACGTATTTTTTACAGGATGGGGAGTGTGTGTGTGTGTGTTGTTGTTTTGGGGTCGCCCTCTCAGGCTGGTTGAAAGAGAACTGCCATTTTGGGGCTATAAGTTCTATTCACACATGCGACCGGCTTTTCTCAAAGAACCTCCGTCTCACAGGCGGAGATTGGGGGCACGTTCTACTGGCAACCTCCGATGGACCAACAACAGGCCCCGTGGTCTGAGTGTGGAATCGTGCCTGCATGGCTTTTGGGGCATGGCCCCCAGATTCCGTCCGGGGCCGTCCACCCTTCAGTTAAACCCTTACCAGTCCCAAAAGGTGGTGTTTGCACGCAGCCCTTGTTGGTTGGGCAGTTTTGAGAATGTGAAAGCGAAAGGAATATGAACAACTGACAACTTTTCGTGGCAGTCTATTGTTAATTTCGGGAGGAATTGGGGGAGCGCCCAAGTTTTCTAGGCAAGCGAGGGCTTGCCCAATTTTCCCGTGTCGACTTGGGGAAACAAGTTGTTTTGTCGGGGGGGTTCACATGTTCTCGTTCAAAGATGATGTCCTCTCCATGCTACTGTTGGTGCCATTTGAGCCCCAGCTGCTTGTTTCGGCGGTGATTTGTTTGCTGGCCCTCTGACCTTTGGGTTGGCATTGGGCCGCAGCTTGTCCTTTAGATCGCAAAAAGCAGCTGATCCCGAAAGCCGAGTTGTGGGAAAGCGACAATTGTTTGCACTTCTGTGATACCAGAAAAGCAATTCTTGTAAGTGAATAATGACTTGGTCATGGGAAAGGCCTTCCAGTGGGCATCACAGCGGTCCGCTGCGCTAGGTGATAACCACCCCAACTTGCCATAGGCTTGTAAGGATTCTCTAATTAGGCGTGTTTTTTTGTTGAACGGCATGGGTGTACCTCTTGAGTTGACAAACTGAGGGAAACACAATTAAATATTGACTTGCAAGCCGCTCATGCACTTTGGTTGGATCTGGGAGGAATGGCCAAATAGTTAGCAACGCCCCCCCCCCCCCCGCCCCGGCAACCCGCAACAGTGGGCAAACCCGCAACCGGTCTAAGTGACGACTCCACTCAAAAGGAGTAGATCCCATCCCCAGACTTCTTTGCTCCAACCTCAGCCACCCCTTCCGCGGCATGGGTCCCCAAAGTGGAGAACTTCGGAAGTAGCAGGGCACCAACTTCTTGGAAAGGTAGCTTGTTCAAAACCGATTGTCCAATGATTTGCGGATTGCGGATCATACGGTTTACGGAGTAGATTATGCCGATTGCTGATTATGGGTTGCATGGATTGTCCATGCTCCAACAGTGCAGTTTGGACCCACAACCAGAGCAGATGTCGCATTGTGATTAGGCCCCGAGATTTTGGACAGGCAGGCGGTACCCTCCCAAACACATGAAATCTGACCCGAGGTGCCCAGAAGACAAGTTTCCTCTTGCAGGGGCCTTCTGGTGGGCTCTTGTTTTCCGAGGGTACCCTGGTTTTGGTTGGGTTTCAAGAAAAGCCAAACAACACAAAATGAGTGGGAACCCAAACGCTCACTAGAATAAGCTGCAGTGTACTCTTGTCTGTGCCGGTTGCCCTGCAAGGTTTTGGAATTGTTCTTTCCACAATGTCGCATGGGTGGCGGTTTGGGGAGTGGGCATGTGTAAAAACCTCCAAAATCAACACCAACATGGATGCAGGTGGCTTGTGAAGAACCGGGATAAACCGCCAACCTTCATGGGCCCCGGGCTGCATCCTCCCATTTTTTAAAGGCCGCAAGCTACGTTTGTTTGGGCCAGTCCTGTTAATTGCCTTAAAAGGAGATAAATCTCGAGGGTGCCTCTATTCCTGCGGGGAAAAACAAAAAACAAAATAGACACGCGCACACACACACACAAACCTGCCAGGTGGTGTACTACCAACTCTACCTGAGCCTTGTGAGCCCCGCCACAGCCGGGCTCCACCCAAACGGCACACAGGAGCCGCCGGATTCGAGAAGCCAGGAATGCCGGGCCATTTGAGCGCAGATCTTCCATTTGAACCCTCGTATTTGAGCCCCGAGAACTGCTCATTTCCAGGCACGAATAACAAAAGGGGTGTGTTCTTAAGAAGCTGCCCGGTGGTTTCGGCCCTGTTTTCCCTTCAGTAACCAAAAGGCAGGGACCGTTGAGGAAACGCCTCCGCTAGTGAGCGGAGTGAGGTCCTTTACACTGGCCCTTACAATGCTGTTGCAACAATTCTGCTTGGGGTTCCCTTTAACAAGGTTCAGAGAAAGCGGCTTTAGACAAACATGCCTGGCACTGCTTTGACGTGGCTTTCAAGTGGCTTGGAGGTGGAGTTACTGGAAGAAGGCGTTTGGCTTTCCCTACAGCCCTCTCACTTGACCGAAGCCGCTCCTTTGACCTATTGGTGTTCCTACTTTGGGCCATGGGTAATGTTTCACAAGGCCGACCCTTTTATCTCCAGGTCTTTCCATGTTCATGTTTGCAGTGTGTCCACGGTAGGTGCCCACTTTGAAACGTGCTAGTTAGTGTCCAGTCCACTTTGGTTGGCTTGTTTTTCTTTATACATTGCTTCTTTAGAGCTTATTGAGTGCTCATTTTAGTACCTGTTTAGTTTGGTTCTAGGGCCCAAGGTTGCCTTAGTGCCTCAGTTATCGAAGGACTGGCTGAAGTTTCCCAACGGCAGCGTTTCCGTGGGCACGACTCACCTGGATTTGCTGCCAGACGCTGGGTCAAGAGGCTCTTTGATGGCCTTGGGTCCTTGGGATTCCCACAGGTGTTCCTAGCATTCTTGGGGTGTCTTGGGGTTTGTTGGTGTTTGCTGTGCTTTGTGTTTTTTTATCGATTCATTTTGTTTCTTGGAACTCTGAGATTTGCTTATCGGGGTGGTTCGGTTGTTGTGGGCGTATTCTTTTTTGCGCAACAGTAACGGCTACTGTGAACGAGTTTTGGACGATGGGGAGACTCTTTGTCCTTATTTGCGGGTTTCTCCCGGTCTCCAACACCATTTTATTTTGGTAGACGAAAGTTTGGAGTGCCCCAACTGTGGGCCGAGTTGTGTTCCTTCGGGTTCCCTGTGCTTTTTTTGGGTGTTTCTTGAGCTTACGTCTCTCCGGGAAATCAGAATCACTTGAGGGATTTCGTGGTTCCTTTGTTTCTTCGGGTGCATTGCCTTTTTAGTGACACCTTTGGGCCTCGGATTCCTTGGCGTTGTTTACGGTCTCTGAGGGAAGGCCTGCAAATGGTAGGACAGGAGTGGTAATCTCTTACAAAACAGATCTCCTCTGTTGATTCCAGGTTCCGCTTTTGAATTGTTCTCCTCCGCTTGTGGAGTGAACCCTCAATTGACCTCGCATCTGAAGCATGCGATCTAAAAGGGGTCCCCACCTCCCCCTCATGTTTGCAGTCTAAGGACCACCCTGTTCCGGCGGACGATGCCTATATCTTGGTTTACACGGAGTCCACACTGGCCGAGCAGACCACGCCGGTGGGGCAAGCGCTGAACGACTCCCTCGCCTCGGTGCGGAACCTCCGGTGCAATTCAGAGGTATGACACGGTATGACCGTTGACATATGTGGAAACATGTATGTGTAGAAATATGTTTATGTTACACACATAACTATGAGCATCGAACAACCCCCTGCTATTATTTTGCGACGCGTGTGTACTATATCATGGGATGAATCCTTACTCGTGTACCATATGTGTGTACTGAACAGTGGCAATTTAGATGTCCAAGCTGAGCTGCCAAGGTGTACTTCGTGCAAGTACTGCCCTTGTATTGAGCTGAGAACGATATCCCGAACAATACCTGCAGCGTTGTGGGCAGCCACTGTCCTGCTCGAGATGTCAAAGTGTACTTCACGCATTCCCGTAGAAGATGTTGTGGAAAAGCGCGCCCCCCAAAAAACACAAGTTTCGGGGGTCCTTTTTTTTCTCGCGCAAGCCCGAAAGGCGCTTTGGCACTAGTGTGGCTTCGGTTCTGTTTTGGCTTCTGAGGCCTGTTTATGGAAGGTTCGGTTCTCAAGCCATTCGGCTCTCAGCGGTTCCCCCGTATAATCGCTCAGTTGGTGGCTCGGGTCAGTTGAGGGGCACAGGGTTTTGAAATGACCGACCCCCCCCAACAGGCAAACGGCAAAGATCCGGACCAACGCGCAACTGCACGACAGCTTTTCCCACAGAACAGGTCCAGCGCAATGGGGCAGAGGAGACCTATTTGCATTGTCTGGCCCCTCCCCTTCGCCAGGAAAGCAAAGCGTGGTTCCAGAATTGTAGGGGTGCTCTTCAGGAGGCTCTGCAAAGGTCCTTCAGACCTAGTCCCTGTGAGGAGCTGTCTTTCCTCTTTTAACGCATTCGCTCAACGTGCGAATGCCTTTGGCCGTCGAGGCTTAAGTTTCAGTGAGCGGCCAATTGGTTGCCATGTCCTCCATGTTGTGGGCGCACTTTCTCCCGCCGCCTCTGCGGCTCCCTCCGGGGGCTCCCCCGCTTGCCATTGGGATTGCTTGGTTGGTGTGTCGCGGGTTGCGGAGCCAGAGGGGCCGAAGCAGGGGCCGAGACGCAGGCGGGACCGACCCGCAAAATATGACGCCTTCGTGCCCTCCAGCGAAAGTGGGTCCAGCTGAAAAGCGTCTCCACTTGAAAATGAAAATGTCGTCGAGCAAGAATGCTGAAGGGTAATAATGGGTGCTGCACGGCTGGAAGGAAGCTTGTGCAATGTGTAGTTGCCCTCGACAGTCCTGTCGGTGGGAACACAGGCGAGCTTTTAACCCGCTTAGGCAAGCGTGCCGCGGAGCGCAATGCTATGCCTGCTGCGTCCTGAAGCCAGACGGATGGACGCGCTAAGGCAAGCCAGCGACTAAGAGATGGTGGTCAGGATGTCTGCGTATGTGCACACTGTGAGGATGTAGATGTGAACTAGACGCGTGACTGTGCAGGCAGAAACGACTGCCAACGCAGTGCCGACCGGTTGCCTTGCCAACTGCGCTCACACCGGAGGATTGCAGGAGGATGGCAAACCACCGATATGCTTCTTTCGCTTCCTTCTCCTCTTCCCCACTTTTTGTTTGTTCCCCGTTTTGATAAATTACCGCCTATTTCAGTTAGCATGCTTATGTTGAGACTTAGCGTGCCCGCAGCACGCAGCGCGCCAAACGATATACAGAACGATGCCCGGAACTACACCCCTATAGAGCTGCAAGCAGTTGGCTTGCGCGAGGGCAGGCCCACTCGTCATGTCGCGCGTGTTTGATGATGCAAGTTTTCCAGTTGTGCTGTTGCTGCACCTGCTTTGCTGCTGCCGCTGCTGCCTCCGACTCTCCCTCTTGCTTCCGTTGCTTCTTTCGCTTGCTGTTCCTTTTCCCCTCCCCGTTCGGTCCCTAGTCCGACTCTTGCTTGTTGCTCAACTTCTTTCCTCCTCACTGGCTTGCGTTTGCTGGCCCCTGCCCCTACACGCCATGGAGCACACACGCAGGACATCAGGCAGGAAGGCGCGCGTGTGCCAACAACGTGTCGCAGACAGAGAGCCAGCGCTCCAAACAATACCGAAGACGATGCCCAAACTAAACCCCTAGAGTTGCGCCTGTCCCCGCGCGAAGGCTGGCCACCCACCTGGTTTTTCAGTCTGTTGTGACTGTTCCTCCCCCAAGCTGCCTACTGCATATGCTGTTTGCCCGCACCCTCGGACAAAAGGGGGTTCCAAGAGTGAACTGTTTTTGCTTCCGATGCTATTATTTGTACGTCGTTATCTACTGCAAACAAAGTCCAACACACAAAATACACAATTCCACACACACAAAATACACTGGCGTAGACCCCAGATAGCTTAAAACATGTTGAGGACTCACTGCCTGTTTTGTTGTTTCACCCGCGTACCTGCCAACATTTCAAGCTGATCTACTGGCAGACCTCAGTCCCTGAGGTGCAACCCCCAGCCGCCAGCGCCGCAAACTTTCCACCTGCGCCCACTGTTAATAGTAGCAAAATCTGCGCCAGCACCCCAAACTGCATGCCCCCTGCGCCCGATCTCGCAAAAATGCACCCGCGCCGCTCCAGTCCCAAAATAGCACCTGCGCCAGCACCTAAAACTGCAGCATTGCATTGCCGACAATCTTGCAAAAAAGCACCCGTGCCATCAGCAGCACTAAGAGCGCCCAAACAAGCACCCGAAACTGCGAACGCTCGCAACAGAGCCTCAAAGGCAACACCTGCGCCCCAAACAGCATGCCCGCATTCACCTTGCCGTCAGTCTTGCAAAATGCGACGCACCGTCACCAGCACCTGAATAAGCACCTGCCCCAGCACCCAAAACTGCACGCCCCTCGCACCCTGCCATCAATCGCGCAAATCACGTCCACTCTTTATTTGCAGTTAGAACCCCTTTTGCTTTCAGCTATCTGGGGAAAATAAGTAAACCAAACAAAACAGACAAGCAAGCAACCAACCAAGCAACACAATCAACCAATCAAGCAAACAAGCAAACCAGCAAAACAAACCCACACACAAACAGACCAAACCAAACACAGAATCTTTGCAAAACAAAACAGTTAGTTCTTTGGTTCTTTGCCCAACCGCTGCTGTTCGAGTGACCCCAAATGTTGGGTTCAGAAGAACGTGTTTTTCTTTTGGTCTTATCGCCTAGTTCGAGCCCGTAATAGGTGACCTGTTTGGCTTGCCAAATCACCATTTGTGGACCTCTACAATCATCTCCGTACAGCAGCTTTATTGGTGCTATTCCAGAAGCCAAGGTGTTCCCCATATCTGCCCTCCTGAGCGTGACATCATACCCCAAAATACAAAGCGGGCCGGGTGTTTGGAGCTGGTGGGGATGAATTGAGGGGATCCTTGATTTGGGACAAAACAAAGAAGTGGTGCTACAGGAACGTGTCCTTTACCGACTTGGACTTGGACCAGGAGGAGTTGGGCGGCAATGCCCGGGCCCTGGGAATGGGCGGCCGCATTTCATGTCAAACGTCCTTCGCACATTCCCCTTTGTCTGTGGGAGATGCCTTGTACTGAACTAATACTGGCCACGGACCCAGACTCTTCTCACTGTTACTCGATAGAACTCGATTTGACCCTTTGGCTTCTCGTTTTCCCGTTTGGTCTAAAGGAGAGGTTCCTAAAGTTTGAACCTTTCTACCCTCTCTCGCACATGGCGCTGTGTGAGCGCCCAAAGCAGTGCACTCCAAAGAGCCAGAGGATCGGTCAGTCGAGTAAGCAGCACATTCACCCTGGTTGAGCGAGCATTGACATCCAGTTCTCGGGTTTTTGGTCTTTACATATGTATATATATATATATATACATATATGTATATGTGAGCTGTTGCCCTTTGCAAATATCTCTTTTTTTTGGTCGTGCTTTGCTAAAGTGGGCATGGAATGGGGGTTTGACGTGGTGATTTGTAATTAGGCGTGGATGGGTCAGCTGGAACTCTGACTCAAATGCAGCCGCATGGCCAGGTGACTTGGGAAGCCGTTCCTCCAGAGGAGTAGGGTTGAACTATACCCAGTTTAATCACGTTGAAACACCCACGGTTTCAACAGCCTCGTTTGTGTTGCCTTATGTTTTTTTGAGGGCAACAGGGGCTAGCTGGTTGCACAATGCAACCAGCCCGGAGGAGCAAGCGGAACTGGTGACTTTGCATGACGTGTACCTGGCAGAGGACGAGGCGTCAGGGCCGTCAGCCGCACCAAAGCCGTTGGTTTCAGTTGCCATTGGGTTGCAGGCCCCTTTGACCCCTTTTCTGCCGTGGGATGATTTACCTGAAATGTCGGGCAACCATTTGTGTCAGTGTGTTTTTTCTTGAAGAATGCTAAGATAGTTCAGGGTGCAAAACAACCCGACAGATTTTAGGTCCTTCCTGAAGCAAACAAGAAGGGGGCACAGTTGCTTGCTTCTGACCTTGTTTCCAGGTGTTGTCTTGGAAAGAAGGGACCTGCACGAATGAAGCTGACTTGTCCTTGCCGCTGGTCTTTAATCATAAACCATCCAACAGAGGGCACTTCATTCGAGGACAGACCCTAAAATCGAAGCAGATCCAGCCCTAGAATGATCATATTGGACCCTTGCATGTCCTAACATGTTGCGCAAAGCTTTGCCATGGGATCAAACAGGTAGCATGTAGCAGGAAGTATACATTTGTTTGCCAAACTCTTCCTCAAAATGGGCTCCTGGAAGACCATCCTTCTTTCTGCTGGGCTCCTCGCTATTTGGGAAGGCAACTTGTGCATTGAATTCGTTGCAGGTCCGACGGGCGGAAGTGATCCTCATTTCAGGGGACCTGAGAGTGTTTGGCTCAAAGCATTGATTTGGCATATCAAGCTTTTCCAGCCTATTGTTGGAAGGACTGCTTGGAGGTCCGCTCATTTTCCTCTTGCTTTGGCATAAGTTTTGCGAAGTGTTGCCTTTTGTTTCATTTTCCCACCCCGCTGTTCCTTGGTGTTTTCCTGATCCCTTTGTCTCCTTTCTCTTCTTAGTTTCCTCCTTGTCCACTTCTCATCCAACGGAACCGCTCACCTCTTTTTTCATGTTGCACTTGTTCGGTTTCCTGTGTTGTTTCCCTTTGCTCCTCCATGTGCTTTCCTTTCCCCCCTTTCTTCCTCTCGTTGGTTTGCGTTTGCCAAGTTGTTTGTTCTCTGTTTCTTGTGTTTCTGGCGCGAAGAAAAGTTGGCAGGTTGGCGCTGGCCGCTCGCAGTTTGCGTCAACGAAGGGCGATACGGTTCCTTTGGAGGCGGAAACACCGCGCAGGCGCGGTGCTTCCGGCAGAGGAATAACAATTTGTTGGGTTGTTTCGCTGAATTGTGTTTTGTTCGTGTTGACTTGGTACCTGAAGTTCTGTTTGTTGCTATTGATTATTTGTGTTGTGTTGTTTTGTGGTATTTGGTTATTTTGTTGTTTCTTTTGTTTGCGGAACCGGAATTTGCAACTTTTGACGAGTCCTTATTATCAGTGGGCAACCAAAGCGCAGACCCATTGCTTTGAACAAACAAGGGGGACAGTCAAGGGAGGGGGCGAGGCGATTCGTCTGAACGAAACATGAAGGGAGCACACTGAGTACTTGGACGCAGCCAAACGTGAAAACCATGTTCAATGTCCTGGGCTTGGCGCCAGGTTAGTTCGAAGCCAGGCCCTTGTCCAAGTGCTATCTTGCAGCCATCGTGTGACAATCATCATGACGGGCAAAGGTTGGACACTCTGCCAATAAGTACCAAGTCTCGAGAGGCCCCTTGCAGCGCATGTAAATAAATTAAAGATAAACGGACACAGACACACACACACACACCACACACACACACACACACACGCATACCCGCCCACACACGCGCGCACACACAGACACACACGCGCACCCGCACGCTCGCACGCGCCCACACACGCACACGCACACGCACACGCACACGCACACGCGCACGCACACGCACACGCACACGCACACGCACACGCCCACCCACACACACACAAACGCACGCATGCGCGCGCACACGCACGCATGCGCGCGCACACGCACATATGTACGCTGTTTGTTAGGATGGCCGCAGTGGAATTGCAGAGGAACAGACCTGCTTTGGATGTGGAAAGACATCGATAGTACAAAAGCGAAAACCGCTCTCTTGCTGCATTGTCGAGCCTTCTTGCAGTCAAAGGTTGTGTGGTTTTTGACGGGTGTTCCTTTTCTGTTGATTGATGTTCCAGTGAAAAGGTTTTCTTTGTTGGATGTGTCTTTGTTATCCACTGTTGTTTGTGCCTCCTTGTTTGTTTCTTGCTTTTGTTTGCTTTTCTGGCTTTTGTTTACGTGAGTTTTGCCGTGCCTGTTGCCTGTTGCTCCCCGAACGTTTTGACTTGAATTTTCGGTTTGCTTGGTTTGTTTTGGTTGGAGGTCCTTCTCCCACCTGCTGGTCTTCACCCGCTCGAGCCTAGCGGAGCAGAGCCGCGCGGCGTTGCTCGGCTGGCCCAACAGCCGTTGATTGAAATAAGCGTCTTTTCTTATCCATTCCCCGAACAACCCGTACCCTGGAAACATGCGTTTCGAGGGGGTACACCTTTGCGAGTACAACAAAATTTCGTATGGACGGGGGAGTTCCGGGGGGAGGTCTGTGCTGTGCGCGCGTGGGCGCGCGCGCGCGCGTGTGTGGCGCGTGTGTGTGTGTGTGTGTGTGTGTGTGTGTGTGTGTGTGTGTGTGTGTGTGTGTGTGTGTGTGTGTGCGTGTGGGGATGGCCAAACCCTGCAAGACGCAAACGAATTCTTTGGTGAGATTGGTCGAAGTGTGATTGCAAAGATTACCACCATGTTGATGATAAAGCATGTCCTCTGCACCAATTATAGCGAGTTCACCCATCGGGATAAATCGAGCTTACCCATAGTGTTCACTTAGGGGGTTCTCTATTGGCAAAAATGTATGTTGCCAACATGTTACATGCTAAACGAGGTTACCAAGTTGCACACCAACAATTCACAAATCAGGAGCATCAGACAATGCCAACAACAGTTGCAAAATTGAATGTTAAATAGAGTTGAGCGTTTCTGTAAGCAGTGAATCTAGGGGTTGAATCGGGTTGATTCTCCACGTTGAATCTGAAGAGGCATCTTCAGTTAAAGGAATCTTGCTTGAATATAATGTGCCCTCATGAGTTGGCAACTTACAAATTGGAGATATCTGTTGGTAAGTGCCTTTTTCATTGTAGGCACGGCAACCCAAAAATATGAATAATGTTTCTGGCCAGTTGATTTCGAAGTTCAGTGCTGGAACACCGGGAGTGATCCCCCAAGACTCTAGGAAGCCATGGTTTCTGTTTCAGGCGAACCTGGACACCAAATACAGGCTACAGTATGTTTGGACACATTGGCTTTTGTGACTCTGACATTGTAGATGACAACGTTTTCAACTCACCCAAAAACGATGCGCCTTCGGCGGACTGCTAGGGACCCGGACCCATATCCTCAAAAAACTCTTCTTTGAAGGCGATTTTTCTCGGGAGCCTTGGGGGGCAAATCTAGTGACTCTTGTTAAGACAAAGGAAAATACCAGTGACTCCAAATATCCACTGTATAGCCACAGACTGAAACAAGGAGATGTACCATGGAAAGCCATTTTTCAACATACACACTAAAAAGGTGGGAATACTTAAAGTGGGAGGTGGTTTGGCAGAAACAATCCCAACCGGTGTGTCCAGGTTTCTTGGCCTCAGCGACACCACGCGGCTAGTGCAAAATCTCAGCTTCGTGGACCAGGACCAACAAAACAAGCGCCCTTGCTTTTAGCCATGGCCAGGGGGGGGGGGGGGGAAATATCAGGGGCTGAGAAAGTAGAATGGGGTTGGAGCCTGATAGGCCAGTAATGACAATGATAATACGGCTTGTAATCATTTAAGCCATGTATATTGACCTTGTCGGCGGTGCACATGCTGAGGCCTTTGCGCAGGTGATGCATGTTGTTGTGGGGAATAATGCATCCCTAACTCCGTTGTGGGAAGTTGGGCTTGGGGCCTTTCTTTGTTACAGAGGGAATCATCTTCAACATGTCAACGCATTTCTGAACATGGACTCCACGGAAAGAGTGCTTTCCAAAGCCATGTCATATACACACATCAACAACAGATACGCACGCGTAGACACGCACACAGACACAGTTTGCCAAAATATGAATACTGAAAGACACACACGCACACAAACCAAGTAATATTTTTATCGCCTCCGGCTCAGACCGCCGACATTACAGGCCTGTTTCCCCCCCCAAGCTCTATTCCTCTTTCCCTCCGTAAGATCCTCCACCCTTCTCTCCCCCGAGATCTTCCCCCCTTTCCCCCCCTAAGGTCTGTTCCCCTCTTTTTCCTTCAATATTTTTCACCCTTTGTGCCCTTTTTGCACGGGGGGGGAAGAGGGGGGAAAAGATCTTAGGGGGGAAACGAGGGAAAAGATCTTAGAGGGGGAAGGGGGGAAGGGGGGAACAGATCTTAGGAAGATCTTCGGGGGGAATAGTGGGGAAACGGTGGAAAAGATCTTAGGCGGGGAAGGGGAGGAGAAGATGTGGGGGAAAGGAGGGAGAAGATCTTGGGGGAGTTGCGGGGGGTGCCTTGGACTGTATCATCCAATGCAGCGACGTGATGTGCAATGAGCGGCTTCTGCGGCCTTCCGCTGCCTCCGCGGCCCCACGGCCTCCGCAGCCTGCGCCGCATGTGCGGCTGGGCATGGGCAGAAGCGGGTGGCAGACTAGCGGCTGGCAAGCGGGCTGCAGCCACAGGCGGCCTGCGACTTACCGCTCGATTAGTGGCTTTCCACCTTTTACCATTCTGTTTTTGCAGTTTAGCTACCTTTGGGCCTGAAAAAAGACAAGGTAGATGATCAGACCGCGCTTCGCCACTACAATAAACTCGCTTAGCTATATTTTAATCTTAGAACCCTTGCGCGGCAGACAAGTTGAATCAAGACATTTCGTGAACAACTTTCCGAGCAGCCTACGTAGTAGCATGAACAGTGTTCTTAGCGATTTGTTGGCAGACAAGTTGAACCAATTAATTTCCTTAGCTACTTCCCCGCTGGCAGGTTGAACCAAAACAGTTTAGCGGTTTCCTCGGAGGCAATATCAACTAAGAAGTTTCTCTAGGCAGGCTCCCGGCTGAGAAGTTGAAAAAGGTTCCTCGGCCACGCCCTTGTAGACAGATTGACAGTTTGCTTAGTTAGCTGTGGCTGCAATGCAACCCTCAGACGGGTTGAAGCAAGAAGCTGTTGTCTTTGACAGACATGGCATTGACTCCCAGCCTCTTTCACAAGTGAGCTTGGCATGCCGGGAAGCTTGTTTTTGAAAGTCTTGTTTCTGGCGCAGCGTTGTTGAGCTTGGAGCATGCTCGCAGGCATTTTCTTGTCGTGAACCAGTTTGGCGCGCGGTAACTTTTTACCAAGCTTGACTTGCTTGCAGCGCGCGCCGCGGGCCACCGCGACAGTTCGAGTCACGCGCTTAGCAGCTTGAAGTGATTGCAAGCGTCACACAGCTTGTTGACTAAGGGTTTTTCAATCTGAGTTGCAACAGTTCATATGAGACTGCAAAAGAGACCATATTTCATAGAGTGTTGGACGACTGCAAGAGTCAAATTATGTTTACAGCTGTTGGTTTTTATGAGCGGCTGCCAGGGTCACCAGGAGCTGCAAGAGTTCATGAGTAACTGCAAGAGTCGCATTTTTCACCAATGGTCAAAATTTAAGAGTGACTGTGCAAGAGTCACATTTCTGAACCACTGTGAAAATTCATGGCAAGAGTCACCAACATAATCTGTAAGAGTTCGTGAGTGGCTGCGCTAGTCACATTTTCCAGCCGCTGTCAAACCCAAGTTTATGACATGACCTGCAAGAGTTCATGAGTGAAGAAAAGAGCTACCTGTTTTCAACAACTGTCAAAGTTTATGAACGGCTGCAAGGGTCATCAACATGAACTGTGAGAGTTCATGAGCCACTGGTAAGCCAACAAGTGTCAAAAAGTTTTGGTCGGTTGCAAGAGTCACCAACAAGTGGTTGCAAGAGCCAATAATGTGTCACCAACATGAGCTGTAAGAGCTCATGAGCGACTTGGTCATCCATTTTCTCACAAGTGTCAAAAGTTTTTGGTGGCTGAAGTTCGTGACAAAACACCAACATGAACTGTAAGAGTTCATGGGTGAGGGCGTTGAAGTGTTGTGAAGGGCACCCGTGAAGACACGCCTATGCTGAGGATGTTAAAGCCCTGTAAAGAAAGACGTCGCAGCAAATGCTGAGGATGTTAGAGCCCTGTAAAGACCACCCCGCAAAGCACCACTTTCCCCGACAGCGAGCGCTGAGGATGTTGAAAAGGGATGCTGAGAGTGGTGCAGCCCTGTTAAGACCACCCCCGAAAACACGCCTTTCCCCGACAGGAGGTGCGAGCTGCAAGGGTCGCAGTCTGAAAGAACTGTCAACAGAGTCTGACTGGCTGCAAGGGTCGCCAGCATGACCTGTAAGAGTTCATGAGCCACGTTCAGCAACTGTCAAAGTCACAGGCGTGCACAGAATGCCTCAGCGCGCCAAACCTCAGACACGCAGGTAATTCGTAAGGACACATCGCTCCGACCTTCATGCCTAGCCACTTGAGGCTTGGCTCTAGATCTTGTCGCTTGTGAACCACAAGCATCTTTGGGCCCAGGCGCTCAAAACTAACGGGAAGCTGGTGATGCTGGCAATGCTGCTGGTGCAGTCTGTGGGTCGAGGCGACGGCCATTCGTCTCCAGTCGTTTCAGCTTGATTTCGTTGCTGGCAATGCTGGTGATGCTGGCGATGCTGGTGGTGCAAGGTGCTGCTCGAGGCGGCGGCCGGCCGTACGACGAGTTAGCTAAATTATTTAATTGTCAGTGGTCGTTCCAGCTAAACTTCGTTGCTGGCAATGCCGGTGATGCTGGCGATGCTCGTGGTGCAAAGCGCGGCTCGGCGCGACCGTGTGACGAAGCAGCAAATTCGTCAGTGGTCGTTTCAGCTCGACTTCGTTGCTGGCAATGCCGGTGACGCTGGCGATGCTGTTGGTGCAAGCTGCGGGTCGAGGTGACGGCCGGCCGAGTGACTAATTTGTTAATTCGTCAATGGTCGATTCAGCTGGTGATGCAGCGAGCTTAGTCTTCCCCATTCTGAAAGGGGCCTTTGATTTGGTGACATCTTTCCGTCCCTTGAACAGAACCTGCTTCTGCTTCACATATCTCCGGTTGGATGAAGCTGCCTTTCGTTTTTGTTTCTGCTCAAGTTTGTGAGTGGCTGCAATAGTTGCACTCAAAATTTCAGGTTGGGTAACGATCACTAAAAAAAGAAACCAGCGTTGAATGTTAAACAATTTTCAGTTGACGGGAAAGAAATGACTGTCAAAGGGTACAAATCACACACACGCACACACACACACACAGAGCGCGCAATCAGACACAAGTTTTTTGCCCCCTCTCGATAAGATCCGCTTGGGCACAAATGCACCTGATGGGCGTAGTGCCCTCAACATATTGAGAAGGCGACACTACAATCCACTTGGGCGCACATGCGTCTGACGGGCGCAGTGCCCTCAACTTATTGAGGAGGCGAAACGCCTGAACTTGTTTCGCGTTTGGCCACTTGCGTCATGAAAACTACCACTTGCAACTTGGACTTTAACACGTTAAGCCACTCAGATTTTAGATTTTAAGCCCTTAAGCTTTCATTTCCCTTCATGTCCCTTCACTCAGTTCCCTTCAGTTCCCTCCATTTCCCTTCACTTTCCTTCACCTCCCTTCCTGTCCCTTTGTTTCCTTTTGCTTCCTTTCGATTATGTCCTTCTACTTCCTTCATCTCACTTCGTGCCCCTTGCTTCCACGCAGTTCCCTTCATTTCCCCACATTTCCTTTCACCAGCTTGGGCAACTTCAAGCATCCCCTGCATCATCCGCATCAAGGTTTGCCAAGGATGCCCGTGATGAGGTGATGCTGGCGATGTTTCGCTGGAGATGCTAAGGATGCAAAAGCTGACCCGGGGCGAACTGACCCCCAAGCACAGCCCCCATATCATAGAAGTAAACCTACGAAAAGGGAACGTCTTGGAATCACCGCGTGGTATGTGGCCAACCCCCCCCCCCCACAATAGTCAGAGGGGGAACAGGGTAAAGAGGTAAGGAGATTTCCTTCTGTCCAACACGCCGTTTGTTCTCGGCGGATATCCGCATAAACAGTACATAATAGTTGAACAATTGGATCGAGACACTGCTAAAACACGGTTAGTCAACGATTCACGCAAGTAAACCCAAAAACATATACCAGACATGGACAGCAACAACGCACAACCAAGAGACAGATGCATAAACGAGCAACCAAGATGTGAACACATAGGTGCACATGCACACGAGCAGCCTCACACACGACCAACAAAAACAGCTCACGCCCACCAAAACAAAGACCCACTCCTCATAAATCAGTGTCACACATGGCACAACTACGTACGACAAAACAACGCATACACACAATGCACACGCACCAAGATGCAGACGTCGACTTAACCACACCAAACACACGCACACACATCTCAACAACAGTCACACACACACACCTTAACTACAGTCACACACACACACCTCAACAGACACACACACACACACATCATGTATGAAAGATCAATGTCCAACCAATCAATCAGGCAAGCGGATTCATTATCAGCAACCATGCGTTTGGGGGGGAAAGCCCCACACCGCGTTTTCCGAAGGACTTGGACGCGGAGGATCTGGGGGGCAATGTGAGCTGGCGCCAGCCGGAGGCCTGCCGGGGGCCGGTTACGTGCCCAAAAAGGAGCCAGAAGAGAACGGGTGTTTGCTATTGCTGGAATTAGGTTGGAACCCTTGGCTTGTGGGAGTTTTTAGGCGGATTTTACCAGGGTCGCCGAGAACATGGGTTTATCCCAGTTTTGTTTCCAGCCTGCCAGACGGAAACGTGTAAACGCGATTTACATTGCCTTAGCTGTTCTTCTGACATGTGTCCAGGTAACCTTCTGTTCCGAAATTGTTCCAAAACCCGGAACCAGTGTTGCAGGGAATGCTGTTGGTTCTCCCGTAGGCGTAGAACTCGTTCTGCCAAGAGTATTTGTCAGTTCCTCAAAGGTGCTCAAATTGCAGCTTTTTGGGAAACCCCAGGCAATCCAGGAGCTACTTAGGCCTTGTACAAGGCGTATTTGGTGGTTCTACATCATAAACATAAGGACTCCTGGGTGAAGACACCCTGTATTGGTGGAGTTTAAGCCCGGGTAACTGGGTTTCAATTGAAATACTCGGAAGGGGATGTTTTTTTTTTTGGGGGGGGGGACCTTTGGGTAATGGGATTCCATGTACAGAAATCGTGGTACTACAAGGGGCCAGACTACACGCCACCTAAAATCACACCTTTCAAGGCTCTAAATCAGCATTAATTGGGGTGTTGGGCTGGTCCTTCGAATACACTCTTGGTGGAAGACTAAAACATTACAGAGACTCATAAATGTTGGGTGAGAAATCTAGGGACCCTCCCCTTGCATGTTTTGTGGGTTGTATTCAAATTGGACCAACAAGCAAACCTCTAAAACATCACACAGCAGCCATGGTTTCAAGCAAACACTGATCCGTCAGGGTTGTTAGGTGGGGGCTCCAAAAGGGCTGGTCTGCGGCAGCTCGAGTACTTAGATTGTTTTTTTTGGGGCGGGGGGGGGGGGGGTTGTATTGTCCGCCGCGCGTTCGGGCAGGAGGAGACCCACTCAGTTTGAACAACTGGTCGTTGGGTTCGCAAAAAAGGTTGGTTTAGAGGTTCAGGAAATCACCCCTCACATGTTTCATGTAGTAACCTTGTTTGATACAGGGAAGAGTAAGTGATTGAAGGGGAATCAGAGAACAACCATTGCAAGGGTACCCTCCCGAGTAATTCGGTGGATAGAGGGAGGCTCTATCATTCCTTGGGAGAAACCATTGGTTTTGGAGTTGTCAGCCATAGATTTCATTTGCCAGGCGACTCAGGACGGGTCGCTGCTGGTCAGACCCAGCAAAGGAAACCCATGTTAACGGCCATAGGATGGTTTCCCTTTAAAGTGTTTGTCAAAACCGCACAAACAGGTAGATTCCCCAATACTGTCGTCTTCACAGCTCGTCGGGATGATTGCTAATATTATTTAAAACCCAAAACAGCTTGCTACAAAGCTCTTATGATTTGTATTTAGTAGGGGGCGGAGACCGCTTTTTTGCTGACACTTCATGCGCACATGTTCTTTGGGTACCTCGCTTTTGCAAGTGCCGTATGCAATGGCAGCGTAAGAGCCATCGTGTTGGTTTTGACCACTGTGGCGTGATGCCAGCAGACCCCAGCCCCGCGAGGGCGCAAGTCGATGAAGCGCAAAGCAGATGTTCCACCGAAAAGCACGGGTAAATCAACTACAATTTGCATAAGTTGGGCCACCAGGCGGGGGGGGGTGTTGCCGCGCTTTGGATGACGGCTTGTGTCAAGCAATATCTTTCCACTTCAAGTCCTGTATGCAACTTAGCAGGCGGGACGGTATATTTATTCGTGCTGCCGCCTACCCGCAAAAACAATGGACAAAACACATGCTTTGCCAAACGAAGAAGCAAAGGTCTTAAAAGTGCGGCAATCCTCCCCCCCGTTGACGCAAGATGTTGTTTCACCAATGTTTTGCCTGTGGAGTTGGCAAGCTGCTCAAACTTGTTATCATAGGCTCAAAAGGTCCAAGCTCGTGGCAAGATCCCAGGATTCGTCGCTCGTGGTGCACTATACGGTGTACTTGGCCACCTCCGGTTGGGGTGCGGACCGATCCCAGGTCGCACAAGTCGAGGCAGGAAAGATGGCCTCGCCCCCTGTCCAACCAAATCGCTGGGAGTGGGGATGAAAGGGCTTTTGGGGCAAAGGCCCTTGCCAAATAGAACCCTTTGTTGGGGCATATCCCATTTGGAGACAAACTGCGGCAACTTATATTAAGCCCGGAAAAAAAAGAGCTCGCATGAACTATTGTGAAAATTGCCCAGACGAAGGGAACTCTGGGGTTGAACCCCATTCTTGAAACCAACCAAGAAAATGCCTGAGGCCGCCTGCGCTTCACCAACGTGCGTGTGTAAGCACGGCGAACTTGAAACAGCCTTCCGTTGGCGTCCTTCCAAAACTGTCCTGTTTGAATCGGGAAGCGTCGGGTCTTGTTTTGTTTAATTCGGGGTTTGTACATAATTATGTGTTTTACTTACTCGTCGAGTAAGTGACCTGTTGTACCAGAACCAGGTATGTACTTTCACTTTAAGACAACTACAACGGGAAGCTGATTTCTGGGTCGGCCCTTAAACAGGTCTTTTCATTTAGCAATCCGACAAATCCGTCCAACTTGGGCCATAAAGGAAATCAGGTCCTTCTGGGATTGTTGAAAAATCCGATGGTCAATCCTCTCCAGTTGGGTCTTTCAGAACTACAGAGATAGGATTTTTCAGTCAAACCCAAAGAACGGACATGGCACAATTAGATTGCCCCTGGGTTTGTGGCGGGACTCCTGCGCTCGCCCCCGTTCATCCCAACAAAAAACAGATGTTGCCGAAGTTTATATGGCAACTCAAACAGGCTTAGATTAGAGGTCCACACCCAAATTGAACATACCCAACCTGTTTGCCTTTTTTACAGACTCTTCGTGGCGTGCACGCAGCCTTAGTGAACGCCAAGAACATCTTGGGATCCCCTCAGGCCTTGGAATCTCCCCCCAAGCCGTGAGACCTTGGGTTGCCATGAGACGCCCAACATACACCTACAAATTTGTGAAACCTGGAACCCCACAAAAGGAGTTGCTCTCTGAGGGTGTTGCAGGCTTCAGTCTGACTGCCTCAATGTTTGCACGACTCGTTATCCGCTTATGAACTTAGTTTCCGTTTTGAAGCTCGAGAACCCATCCTAACTGTTTAGGCGCTTGTACGGACAAAATCCTGCACCAGTTGGGATGGTACAACTTAGCACTATGAATAGCGGGATAAAAACCACCTACCAACTGGCGCGAAGCGGATTTTGGCCATCCACAACGCTCCCTTCACAATGCAGGTTGGGAGCACTGTAGCGCCAGTGCAGCCGGACACGCCGCTGAACTTCACGCAGGCATTGGATGGAGTTATGCTCGGAGTCCTGCTTCTTTCTAGTGAAAGCAGCGCTCAACGGGAAAACTCACTGCTCACAGCGCAGACCTCTCTCTTCTATTGGATTTACTTCAACCTGCCCAAAAAAGGAGTTGTTGCCATGGTTTTGCATCAAATAATTTCCACAACTGGTTGATGTTCCTTTGGCTTTTTCTTAAATTTAGGATTCCAAAGGCCATCAAATAGAAGGGCATGTTCTGCAGGATCGGGGACCTTGTGCTTTGGGGATGCACCCTTGTCAGGGGATGAGAGTTCTCAACTTCTTGGTTTCCTTATGGTTGCACAAGCCTGTGTTTCTTTTCGGCAACTTAAGCAAGGGCAGACATATTTATATTTGAGAAGCTGCTGACATTGCCTGAGCTTTGGGAATTTGCTGCAAACAAGAATCCGGACAAAAATAATGGAGGGGGTGCAGCCAGTTTTCTTTTGGAGGGGGGCATCCAACGGGGCGCAAACCAAGTTTTCAGCTGGACTTGTCCAGGGATTTGGAGGCAAACTCCGAGTTCGCTCATAAAACCAAGCGACCTGTGGTTTCCCGCCGTTTCCAACCAGATAGCATTCTTTTTTCCAAGAGGTTTACGTTGTTTCCCGGTTCTGAGCGAGAAAATATCCCCCACCTGTAGAGGAAGTTGCACCGACATTAGGTCCAAAGACGATGTTTGCCCCAACCAGCGAAATACAGGGGCCCTGCACCCCAAACACCCCCCCACCCCCCGAACCTATAGACTCGGTTCGGTTTACACAGACTTGTTGAGGCGAACTGTTGAGCCACAAGCAACGCCTGAGTAAATTGAGGTGGGCAGGGAGCCAACCGTGAATTGGTTGGCGTGGATATCCGTCCTTGAATTCCTTTGCATGGCCCCAGGTGGACCTCGTTAGTACCAGGCTTCAATTGTTGAAACAGCCTCAAACATGATGGGATATAAACCACTGTTGTCTGCTGTCAGAAGGGTCATACCAGGATATGACGCTTGGGCAGGTCCTGGTCTATGCACAGTCGCTGCTGGCGGAACAGACCACCCCGGTGGCGCTGAATATAAGCGACACCGTGGCCAGCGTCTCCAACGTGGAGTTTGTGGACAAGGACGGGTTGCCATCTGCGAATCGCCAGATGCCTGTTGCTTGTATGGCAATCATATGGGCATGAATTGGACATCATCTTCTACATGGGTTCATGTCCACCGGCTTCTTATTGAAATTCAGACCTATATGGGTTTGTCTCAAACCCTGAACAAAAAAGACAGCCCCCGCGAGTGATGAACAATACCTGATGTTCCATGATGGCCTCTTTTCAATGGTTTATGGGGCATGGTTTCAAGCTTCATGCAGTCAGCCTGAACCATGTTTAGACCAAAATTCAGTGTGCGGATTTGATGAATGTTGATGGCACATGTTTCGAACCAGGTCGCCTTCTACGAGACTTTCAAGACAGTTCAGGTGAGAATGCCCCCACATAGCAACTGACGATCTGATGGGAAGTGTATTGTTAGTCTGGGGTGGACGATAGAGAGGCCCGCCTAAGTTTCTAGCAGAAACACCCATTAATTGTATTTTCTATAGATTGGGCCCTTGTGTTCAGATCGTGTGTTGCGAGGAAAGTCAACGAATCCACACGTGATTCTCACACGATTCTCCGATGCTCTTGGCTTGAATAGGTTCTATCATATGTCTCGATTCGTTTCTGCATATTTGGGCCATTACAGAGCCTTTGGGCACTTGTCCCGCCGTGGTCTCCGGGTGTTTCAAGGACCTGGACACAGCTGAGCTGGGCGGGAATGTCACCTGGACAGAGCCACTGATCGACTACAACTTCGTGCAGTTCTACGACGTGCCGCCTGGAATAATGCTGCCCATTCAGAGGGTGACTTTTAGGATGTTATTTCAATGGACCCAGCAATGGAGAAAGATTGGGTTTGTGTCCAATCAGAGAACTTCTCATTCCCTACTTGTCATTCCCTCCCAAACTGTACCGTCCTGGTTGTTCTCTCTTTTGAACATGAAGGACTGCGGCGGGCGTTCTTAACTCCGATTAAGCCTGACCCGTGAGTGAATTGACTTTTGCAGTTCCTGGTCCATATTAATTATGTTGCTTCCCCAGGCTTCTCTTTTGGGCACTGTTCATATTTACTCAGGGGACAAATAACTATTGTTCTAGCATGCAGGGGGTAGAGGGTTCGAGTGAGTTCATTTATTTATCTATAAATTATAACGGTACAAGGTATATTTTTCATCGCTGGATCTAGGTCCAGACGTGAACGCGACACCTTCAAATCCTACGAAAGGTGGCTTAAATGATAACGTTCTCTTCTGTCAAACTGAATTTGAAGCCTCCTGATGCTTACATTTGCGTTTGCGGTATTGTCAGACGTTCTTCACACTGCACTTAGTTTTACCTCTTCATTGTATGCCCGATCTGGGCACTTTGGGCTCCATGTGTCAGTATTTGACCTGCTGATTTCTTTGTTTGACTGAAGCAGCCTCTCAAACTTGCGAACACTAATTGCCCAGCCAACTAACTAACAATGACACATTCATTGACTGCATATTTTATACTGACATGACCAACAAACCCCTACTGTTCGCTTGAGACGAATGGCTCGCTAAGAAAAGTAAAGTGTGGTTCAAAAGGCCCAGATGAATATGGTGCACTTGAGCCAAGCGGCATTCATTCCGGCATTTTGCAAAACACATGAGGAACAGACCTACATTTCAGGTTTGCACATGAAAAGCAAGCGAGCTTTAGAATAAGACTTGCCAGAAGTAACGACAAACACCCAATGCTCAATCCGGAGCAAAGCTATAGATTGCAAGCCAACCAGGGTTTCAGGTTTCATCATGTAATTAGTGGCATGAATTTATGAGCAACATACCACGCCCAAAAGTTAGAGTGCGCAATTTGCCAGGTTCAAACATGTGCCTGAAATATCCCTGTGTCTGTACACCTCCAGGTATGGGGCTCCAATTAAGTAGTCCTGGCTGCTTGTGGCTTACGTTTCCTCGGAAGCCGTTCGGCGAGTTTCTTGTTGACCAGATGAACAGTTAAACATCCTTACACAGCATGCGCCGATATGTCCGCTTGTCGTGTTTCAAATTGTTTGAACATGTTTGAACGACGTAGTAATTATCACGCAAAACGGCTCGCCAAACAGAACTCGGCGGGCTGCAAAGAAGATGTTGTGTTTACTGACACCAGAGGGCCCTTCGGGAAAGCGAGATTGAAGAGGGAGTCATCCTTTAAATGTTGCAAGGATCAGTTTATCATGCTTGGGGGATCGACTCACAAAGGGGGATTTTGGCTTTCAAGGGCCAGCGGGGACGGTCTTATGGGTTCTCTACAGCGGTTTCCTATCCGCTTCTCTAAATACCAACTTTTCTTCGGCTATGACGTCAACCTCTGACTAGAGAAGGAGGTATTGACCTGGTTTTGCACAGTATCCTCCCCCCAAATAAATCGGACATTTGGAGTGCGGTGTACTGGTTGCTACCCCATCCATTTGAGCTTATTCCCTAAAACGAAGTATGAATATGGCGCCTCCTTGTTGCGGTTATTGCTATTGACAGGAACTGGTGCACTTGCAGTCGAAGCATCGCTAGAATGTTTGATGCTTGCAACACTCTTCAAAATAGTGGACATAAATTCTCCATGGATCGCTGATGTCCACCAGAGGGGCCAGACAACTGAAATTTGTCAACATTCGAGCACCGTCCTATTGCTCGTGGTGTTGGTTAAGAAAGCAGGTTACTTCGTGTTGATTGTTCCTTGCGTAGAATGTCTGGTCATTTGACTTTAAGTTTTGCGCTCCCAGTCGGGGAATCCTCACAAAGGGCCCCAAATGGGCCCTTGAAACATCACCTCTGGGAAACTAGATTGGGCACTCTCGGGTCCTGGACCTGGTTCTGATTTTGGGAGAGGAGACATCTTGAAAAGCCTGCTTAAGTATAACATAGGCTCTGTAGGGGGTGTTTGAAAATGCGGGGTTTCATGGCAATAAGCGATGTCTTTTTGTTCTGGGCGTTCAAACCCGTCTGGCCCAAACCACTGAAAACGAACAACCAGCCATTTCACAGACACACACACACACACACAATTACGGCACCTGCCTGCTCAGGCTTTCTTGTTTCATTAAACAAATGTTTGAGGTGAGCTGGAAGGCTTTCGCGTTTTCCACGGTGAGGTATTTGGCGAACAGCAGCTACGGCGCCTTCAGAGCCCAACTGGGCGCTCCGCTGGGTGCCGGGCTGGCGGAAACCGCCGTGCCCGTGGATTTGGCTCAGGCCGCTTAGCTGCCGGGGACGAGGAAAACTCATGAGGGTGTTCTCAACATAACTGGTCCCCTCAACCGGTCGCCCCGGGCGCCAAGGTTGTCCATGGGTTGGCACATGCCTTCCAATGGGTGTTCCTGTTCCCCTTACACATCCGGAGTCCCTCTGACTGGGTCGCGAGTTGCGGGCACTCAGAATCATCAACCAGGGAGAACCCCTGCCCTGGTTCTGCTCAATCAATTGGGTTCCGACTTTTTTACCCCAAATGCAACCATTTGCAAGCTTGAGGGCCTTTGTCAAGACGAGCAGGCTGAGTGCAAGCACATGGGGAGGCGCTATCTGGATGGTTAACGAAGCTGACCAAAGCAAACCCGAAGCCAATTTCTATCGGCTGTCCCCTGTGCAAGATATACGTGTTTGTGTGGTGTTTTATATACATGTCGAACCTGTACATGTTTGTTGTATATTATATGTGTGTATATACACATGCAACTCCAAACTTTAGAGCCTCCAGCTCAGTCCGCTGACATTGTCCGCTCCCTTTTCTCCTTCTTCCTTTCTCTCTTGTCTCCTCCCCCGTGTGTTCTGTCGTCCTCTCTCCCTATCTCTGCTGCCCATCCTCCCCATCCCCCCAAGCCTCTCTGTCCTCAATCTCCCTCTCTCTGTCTCTCTCTATCTGATCTCTCTCTGTCTCTGTCTCTCTCTCTCTCTCGCTGTTTCTCTGTCTCTTTCTGTCTCCCTGTCTCCTTCCTGTCCACGCCCCTCTACAGAAAAAGAACGGTACCTTTATTCGAACCTCTCTACTGGAGGACCTAGTCTCTCTCGCTCTCTCTCTGCATTGCAGCGTCACGTCCCCCCGAGTTGCCTCGATGTCCAGGCACTGCCCCTTCATGACCCTGAACTGTCTGCTTACTACTGGCTTTCCCCTTGATTTCCCCTGCATGTCCTGTTCACGTTTCCCATGATGTCCTGGTCATGTCCCTTCCATTCCTCTCAGCTCCCCCTTCATGTCCCTGTCATTTTCTCGGTATGTCCGCTTCATTTTCCATGTATGTCCCGTTCTTTCGTTGCGAGTCATTTCCCTACATCTCCCGTCGTGCCGATTGGTTTCCTTGCATTCCCCCTGCACTCCCCTTGTTTTCATTTCTGTCCCTTTCATGTTCCTTTCAGTTCCCCTTTGTTTCCCTTTCATTCCCCTCATTTATTTGCACTTCCTTGCATTTCCCCTTTGCTCCCCAGCATTTCCCGCACAAAACACGGGTTTTCCAGCGTTTTCGCAAAGAGAACGTCAAAAAACACAGTTTTTCCAGTTTTTCGGCAAAAGGAGGCAGGAAACCTAAACCAGCAAAGAGCCGGCAGTTGGATTCGAGCCTGGGACCCCTGTTTTGCGACACCGGCTCCCCGAACACTACGTTTAGTGGAACGTCATCAAATTACCGCGCAGTACGTGGGGGACCCCCCCCGTGTACCCTACGTATTAGGGTTATCCTCTATCCTCTTTTAGGTGTCCGACACTTTTCCGCAATGTTGGCGGATACCATGTTTGTCTAAGGTAATGTGTATAAAAGACATCAGGACAGTTTCCAGTAAAGCAGCATCACGCATACACACCTAAAGACAAACGTTTGGTTGGGCATTTAATGTCGCCGCTTTGACAAACCCCAAAGTAAGTGTCTGGATTGGCGGTCTGGGTCTTGAGTTCTCGCTTTTGTGGAAACCCGATGGGCGAGCTATCTCCTAACATCCAAACCACCAAACACATGGAGGCTGACGTATGCACTGCCCTGTACCCACATTCTACCATCTAGTCAGTCATGCCCTTGAACAAATAGAGTGGGGTAAGTATAGAATCACCAAAAGGAAGCTTACTTGTTCAGATCCTATGAGATGAACATGAAGCTCACCAACCACCGACAAGTTGTTTTGACGCACCTAGGAGTTCCACACCCACATCGTGGTCTACACTCGCTCGGTTTTGGTGGAGCAATCCACGCCAGTGGCGGCACAGATCAGCGACACCTCCTCGGATGTGCAAAATGTGCCTGGGATTCAAACCATTCGACTTAACTAGGGGTACTCGTGGTCATTTTCTTGTCTCCTCGCGGTTGCAAAATTTGGGGCTGCTTTAGCGGAAGGTCAAAATTGAGGCAGTTCTTTCGTTTATGGAAACCATGACAATCTCTCATTTCTTCTTGAAGTTTAAACAGCACCCTCGGGTTGCTAAGTCAAAGTAAGTGGGGAGCTCTTCCACCCCCTTTGTGTAGGCTGCAAACACAAATCTCAAGACACTGCTCAGGGAACAAGCAGGGAACCTGAACCAGCAACTCAACATTTGCCTGATCGGTGGGCAAGAATATGTCCATGAGAGGTACTCTGTTCCGGGCAACCAACTTTGGGGGGTTGTTTTTGTTGCTTTGCATGGAACAAACTCTAAATGTTGTGTTCGGGTAGTCCTGGAGTGCCTGAGGTCACCTTCACGGACGAAGATCTGGACGCAGAGGACTTGGGAGGGCGCATTTACTGGGACAGCCCGGCAGAGTTCTCCCAAGTCACCGGCTACAACATCTACATCTCGCAAATTGGACGGCAAATTGGATCAGTCGTCCAACATGCTTGCATGGTTTTGCAGAAAAAAAACAACCACCTGTTTTTGGAAACTGTATGCGTTTGGGAATGCCCAGGATTTCGGATGGGACTCTTTTCAATTGAAGCGGGAAAGCGAAAAGGGTTCTTGTCACATGTCGTTGGGCACCAAATGAAGTAGCCCGAGCATGGTTGAAGGAAGTTCCCAAAAGCAAACCTGGAATGATGCACGTCACGGGTGATTTCCTTACATCCCGTCCTTCGACAGACGGGGGGGAAGCCACGCGAAGACCAACCATGTTACCACTTTCGGGGCAAGCCATAGCTTTTCAATAGACCCAACTTGGATGTTAGTGCTTGCCTTAAGGTACCCGCCCAAAACAAGCCCTAGAGGGGTTCTTGGCTTAATCTCACGGGGACTAGAACATTGGTTGATATTTCTGCACATCTCGCCTTGCAACAAGAACTCCTCTCACCACCTCCCAATGCCACCCAGGCTTAGGGGTTAAAACGTGAATAAGTTTTGTGGCCCCAAATTAAGGGAATGCCAAAAAGCAAACATTGGCGTTATTGGTTGCAGGGGTCTTTGCAGAATGGGGTTGTAGCGTTCTGCCGTCAAGGGCCCCCAAAAGGGGCGCCACTGAGAAATTGGTCACTATGAGTTGGTTCATTGTCCGTTCCTTGATTCAAGCAGTGGTTTGGGGATTTGGACCTCCTGGTGTAGGCTTTTGTGGGGGGGAGCCACCAAACCGCCAAGAGAGAAGCTGACTGATTTTTCTGCCGGTCTCTGAGCCCCTCAGGCAGGACGCGTTCGGCGGCGGGCGCTCGCTGATTGCCGAGCAGACACTGAATGAGCCGCTTGCGGGGGGGAGCGGACGCTGAAGCGGGCGCGAGCTGTGGATGTCCCCAGGGCTTCCGTTTTCCTGGAGTTCCCGTTTCAATCAAGCCCAACAAAAGGATAGACACTCAAAAACAATAAATACACTCATGTGGATTGTCTTTTTAAGACTGGCCCCTTCATCTCCAAACTCCGGATTACTTCACCTTTGGCAGATATGATGTCCAGCTCTGACAAACAGAAAGGGTTACTCAACCAGTAAACATGTATGTACCCGAAAAAGTGCGGGTATTAGATTAGGCGGTAAATTGAGTCTGGTGTGGGGTCCCAGGGTTGATGGCTGGCATGGACATTGAACCGCTTGAGAGCTGCAAAGGGTCATGTGTAAATGTGTGTGTGTGCGTTGCCCCGACTCAAGCAACAACTTGTTCTAGGGCAATGTTTTGAAAGCCAGGTACTTCATGGACAGGGGGCGACCAAGCATACCTGTTGGAAATGGTTCGGGTGTTTGAATTGACGGCAGTGTAACTCACGGGAATCCACGGGTTTCAATTTGCAGATATTTATATGTCCGCCCGAAGGGGTCCTTTCCGGATGAAGTGGGATCACTGTCAGGGATTATTTTCCCGAGCACTGATTTGAATTTCCCAAAAAAGGTTTGTTGCCCAACAGAGATTCCCCGACGTGACAAAGCAGCCGAAAGTCCAAAACAGGGGGAGGGGTACCCCGCCCATTTGGTAGGGGATACACCCCCTACAGCTGACACTTGGCTGCTATGACGTATTAACTTTAGGGTTTTGTTGGTGACGAGGATCGGGGGTGTCGCCACTGACACTCCTATACCAGGCAGCCTGATGATGATTGAGCCTGGCGATTGAAAATGTCGATCAACAGCCTGAGTGAGAAACTGGCCCTAAACCATATGAGACTGTCTCAAAGCATGAAAACACAAAATGTGGGAGGAGGGGGGGTCATCTTGGTTTCTTTGGGGTTTCCTCATAGATTCATACACCTCAAGGAAAAGACCCTTGCATTGGTTTTCCAAAAGTGCGCTTCCACCACACTCCCTCCAGCAGGAAACTATTGGGTTTTGGGGCATCACTTTGATGCTCTGCCTTTGGGGTGGCTACCCTAGAAGTCTGCTTCCCGTTCCCTCGGGACAAACACAACCAAAACAAAACAACGCACAAAACACAAAGAAACAACAGCCGGCGTTCAAAGGCAAAGTCCCTCCCTTGATTTTGAACCAAAACAAAAGGTGTCTGTCACCCAGGTCCCGGCAGGCCGTGCTGGCGGCAGACTACACCCTGGCCAACTTCCGGCATTTGGTGCTGTACAGTCGCTCCTCCTTGGCGGAGCAGACGACCCCCGTGGCGGGGAGTGTTGGTTTTCTCGGAGTGCGCTTGGTGAGGGAAGGCCAACTCGTTGGTTTCCCCTATCGGCGTGTCGTTCTTGTGAGGGTACCTTGAGTTCACTGTTGATCTGCAGAGTAGAGGGTGTGAGCATACCATTCCCTATCGGCTTCTAAAATGAATGCAAGCTTTCGAAAGTTCAGACACAAGTCTTGTGTGCCGCGGGCATGTGTGTACGTGGCTCGTTTTGCACCGCTGTTTCTCTACGCCATGGCCACCTTCGTCGAACGAGACGTGGGGAGTGAACTGAAGTAATTGTTTGTAGGAAATGGCTCAATGCACGTGGACACCTCCCACTTGCCCGTAACGTATCCCCCCAATCTCGAAATAGCGTTTTTGCCAGTTGGTGCATGTTGAGAAAACTAAGTTTCCTTTTTCCCCAACAGCTGAAAGCTCTGGGGTCTTAGCCCAGATAGGCTCCGGGGTGGTCCGGGGCGGCCCTGAGGTAAGGTTCCACGAGGGTTCCACCAGGGTTCCACCAGGGTTCCACCAGGGTTCCACGAGGTTCTGCAAGGGCTGCGGAGTGGTGCGAGCACTAAAAGAGCACCGCGTGCTGTTGGGGATATCACCTGAGCTTATTTGGTAGATGCCTGCTTTTTGGTCACAGGTTAACAGATAATAGCCTCAACAAGTGGGCATTGGGAGAGCATGGAGGTAGCCGGGGGATCCACCACCGCAGGCATTTGAGCTGTCCGACTCAGAGTCAGTGGTGGTGGGCCTCAACTTCACCGACAAGGACTTCCCGCATCGTCCAATCACAGGGTGAACTCCCCAGCCGACCCGGTCGCAGGAAACAAAACAAAAAAGCTATGCCGACTTGTTATTCTTGCTTTGTTATTTTTCATGAGAAGCTCGGAGCAACCCGGTCACCAACAGGTTCCTTTGGAGTCTTCGTCCAGTTGGCAGCTCCAATCCACAGTTCAAGACCCCATTTGGTTGATTCTGGGTTTCTTGCAGTTCCTTGCAACCCATAGTTAGCTTCCTCGCACGGGGGCAACTCAAGGTCAGTCCTACGTCCTCAGTTCCCTTTTCCCCTTTTAAGTAAATTTGCAGGTGATGTTTCTTTGGTTCCATTTGTTTGGTAAAGCTCATTTGAATGGTCCATTGTCTGTCGGGTTGAAACAGGGGCCCCCACACTATGAGGCTAGATTTACTGAGCCAAAAATTGTAAAAGGATTGATTTCACTTCGCCAGGCTTCCTGATACTAGGTCCCATCTCTTTTGGCGCGGTGATTGTCCTAGTTGGAGCCTAGTTGTTTTGAGAACAAGATGGTCTCAAAGTCCAGCCTTTAGCAGGTGGTTTTTGAAACCCGGAATCATTGCTTGGAACCTAGGTCCAGTTTGCTTGTTGTTTGGTGGAACTACGGAGCCCTGAAATATGGGCTTGCGAATTGGCGGCGTCCCAGGGCCAAGACTAGTCAAAAAGAGGCCCAGCAACCCCTTTGTTTGTCCCCCGTGTTTAATTCCTTTTGACGAGTTCCCCTTTTCACGTCCCGTTAAACCAAACCCAAAAGGGCACCCTTGAAAACAGACACACCCAAACAGTCTGGTTAACAAGGGTTTCAACTACATTGCTAACTAGAAACATCCCCCCACCCCAAAAAAATGTGTGACGTTTAATCCTTGGTTTCCTGGATTCTCCCAACTAATTTTCCTTTCAACAACCCCAAAAAACGGCACGACTCCAAACCAGCCATGCCCTGATCTAGGACCTGGACGGCTCGGAGCTTGGGGGCACCATCACCTGGCAAGAAGCTGGGGACTCGCAACTGGTGGTGGCCTATGACCTGCACCTCACTCGAAGCTGGGGACGCCGGACCCCCCGGAACCCTCCCTGAAGACTGCCTGGAACCCCGGGCCTTATTTCAGCAGAGAAAACTGTCAGTGGCGAGCAAACACAGCCAGGATCAATGCGAATGAGTCTGGTGGTAACTCTCCCATGTTGATTTCAGGGATCCTTGTGTTTGCAACAGAGCAATGGTTGAAGAGAACGGGCCTCCTCTGAAATGGAGAATTAATCTTAAGGGCAACTTGGTCCAAGTTTTTGGCTTTTTGTTCTCGATGTTGTTTGCCTTGTCATGTTTTTGTTACACAAAAGCGCTGTCCTTTCGTTCAGTCGCATCCATGTTTCTTTTTTTTTGGTGCGTCACCCATTGAAACTAGACCCCAAAACGGGTTCCGTTTCGCTTCAAGGGTCCTGGGACAACTGGGTAGTTGGTTCTTCCTTCTTGTTAATGTTTATTGTTGGCTTATCATGGCTCTTCGCTTGTTTGTTCTGCTTCGAGTGTGTTCTTGTTGTGGCGGTATTTCTTGTTGTGGCGGTATTTGTCTGTTCTGTTTTGCTGTATTCTGTGTTGTTTGTTGGTTTAGTTTAGCCCTGTTGCTGTGTGGTCCAGGTGTTTGGTTGATTGATATGGTTACATATTGGTTTGTCGGGTCAGCTGCTAGCTGTAAACAAACTATATATATACACTATATATGTATGTTGTTTCTTTTTGTTGGACGCGACTGTTCTAAATAAAGGTTGATCCAACTGGCGAATTTCTGTTCCTGATTCATCTTTGAGACTTCCCCATTGGATAACCTAATGGGATGTCTTGTGACTTTCCAAGATTGGAACATGTCTAGATTGGTTGAGCGCTGGGCGCGATTTGGCCTTTTGGCCTTTTGGCGTCGCCTGGCCATCTTCAAGTACCCGTTAGCAAGGGGAGTATCTTTCATATTCTACCCCAAGGGGTGTTCACTTTTTGCAACTGAAGGACGCGGGTTTTGGTGTATTGTTTTTTGCTAGGCTTTCTATTTCAGGATCAAAAATGAAGGCGTGTCCAGGCTGGAGCTGCCCTGCGGCACTGCCCTCCCGATTATGTTCGGGCGGGGAGCCCACGAAAGCAGCTTCCTTGAAGTTTCTTGTCTTGAGGCTTGGGGGTTCTTGGGGTTTTCTGGAGATTCTTGAATATCTTACCAACCAATCATCTCTATCTAAAGCGGTTCTTAGAAGAGAAATAAATTCATTAATAAACAGATATGAAGAAGACATACGCCATGCCAATCATTTCCAGTCTTGTATCATCTCATCCTACATTGTATCTCGGACAGATTCGATGGGCTCCGACGCACGGCGGCGCAGTGCGGTCGGGCCGGTTCATCCGCTGGGTCAGACGGGCCTGGCGAGATCTGATGCTCGCCTGAAGCCTCTGCCCGATGTCACAGGTAGTGCCGTAAACCTCATGCAGTGTGATGGTTGATGTCTGCACAATCAACCCATCGCAAGGAAAAGCAATCTCTGCAAGGGTTCTGTTGAACCCGAGAGAAAGTGGCCAGCGTCAAACACCTCGCAAATGAGCCGCATAGCGGCACGAACTGTGCAGGTAACTCTCGCGAGAGTTGGGCGAGTAAAAAAACAGTTGCATCGGCCTAAGGCTGGCAGGGGCCTAAGAACAACTTTCTAGAAGACAAAAACCCTCCTAATTACAAAGCCAAAACGAGATCTCAATAAAACTAATCGCATAGAAATCCGATCTACTATTTTCCAATACGAAAACATAAATCGAGAGCTGTGCGGCAAACAAAGCAAGTGAGCCGGTTGAGCGTGGTGTGCTGGGCCACCCAACCCCAATCTGCATCGTCAATTGCAACTACAGCATCAAAAACGGGAATGCGCGAACCCAATTGGGCCTGACCGTCAGCAATCGGAAGAGATACCACCGAACACTCCGAATTGCATCCGACCAGAATTCTTAAGTTGAAGAACGCGAGGTCTCGTTGCAAAAGGGGCATGAAATTGGGGTCACGTTGCTGTTTGATCAAGCCCGCATTGAAGTCGACAACTTCGTTCCAAGTTGCTCGCCACTCTTCAACAGAGTCCTCACACAAAATGAAATCCATGTGAGAAGGAGCCCAAGAGACGCGAGCGGCGTCATCCTCGAGCACTCTTGGCCTATTACGTAAGCCGCGCGCGCGCGGCGTTTGTAGGACCAGCTGCTTTGGCCATGGCTCACGCAACAAGTGTTCAACAACAAATAACCTTCTTGTATTGATTTGTGGACCATGTTCATCCCCACACCAACCAAACCCTCAGAGCAAAGCCGGGGCGACGCCGCGCTGTGACCAGGTGACACATCCTACTAGAATTGGCCAATTGGCAGAACCTCCTAAAAAACATTATCATTCAATGCATCAGCATCTGATCCTAGGCTGGGAGGAAGGGATCCTGCAAACGCTCAGTTTTCTCAGACCTCACGCTCACACAAACTAGCGGGCAGGGCCGCCCCGAGACTGTCCAGTCAATTTGTCGCCACATGCAAGGTTCTGCAATGCGCTCAGCGAAGACATTCCTGCCAGCTTTGGTAAAAGCAAAAGGTGTGCGAGCGCCGCCCTGCAAAGCCACAGCCTGGCCAAATTAGCCGTTAGATTCAGCTTATGTGAGCTGCTTGCAACACCCACAACATCATTTACAATCGTATCTGCAGAGCACGACCTTATCCCTGGGAATGGTTGGTGGTGGAGTAGACGCCCACCCAACTTAACATGACTTGACACTGCGACCAATCATTCGAAGGCATTAAAGCTGCTTGATACTAATTACTGATCCAAATGTTACTTCTCTTTCTCTTACTTTATCTATATTTTTGTTTGGTAACAACATGCTGTAATAATCATTTTGTTTGATTCATATCGTTCTATCTTCAAGAAGTTATCTTAGCGTTTTTATTATCATCTTGCCACACATTTCTTTACGATATCTGGCCAGCCCTTTCCTGTTCCTTCTGGTTTCCTGCAGCTTCCTTCGGTGTCCTGAAGGGGTCATGTGCTTGAGGTATCTGAGCGAGAGCGCCAGCGGTGAAGCTCGAGCTCGTCTGAATGCCGCTCGCCAGCAGACATTTCTTCCCTTTCGTTTCCCTTTGGGAGACTCATATCACAAATGTACTCTTAAACACTGCGTGTCTGAGAATCCGGGGAGGTTCGTTTTGAAAATACCTTGATTTGTCTACGGTCACTTTGGAAGGGACGCAGTACGTGGGGGCACGAGCTCTAAGTTTGCCCATTTGTCCCATGACTTCCCCGGTAACCGGTTTGCAATCATTGTCTCTGTCAGTGAGCAGGGTTGGCCGTTAAGCCTACCCGTCATGTCCACATACCCAACTTGTGTTTCGGTATGATGTCAACCCTGACAACACAAGGAGGCATTGGTACAACTCCATTGTTTTCTTTTGAATAAAGAAAGGGACACCCTCCCCCCAAGAAATGATTAGTATCCTTGGTTACGGGTCCCTTTGCTGTTTTATGTTTGTTGTCGTTTCGAACTGCTTGATTACAGCAATGCAGTGTTGGAGGACTGTCTACTGCGATTCGGTGCCTGCGATTCGGTGCTCATGTCACAGCCAGGTTTGGGGGCAACCAATCCCTGGTCCGCTTTTGAAGTGACACCAAAAGAATGTTGTGTAAAGCAAGTGTGCGCTCTGTTGAAGCAAGGGGTTGGCCCAGCCTGGTCACCTTCGCAGATAGTTTTATTTCCTTCAGGTTCTTTGCGGAAACAGGCACTTTATCCTTTTTCATGTTACCGCTTGACGGATTGCTCCTCTAGCCTGCGACATGAGCCTTACTTAGAATACACCCCTTTACTGGATAGCCAAGCTGCCGTTTCCTCCAGAGTCCCGCAAACACTGGCGATGCAATTGCCACATGAGTGGTTGTTGGTTGGCTCCAAGGAGTCTCTGCCTGCAGATGTTTTCGACTTGGACGTCCCCCCAGAGTTCCCGCTCGGCTCAGCGACGCACGTCACCATCTTTACTCGCTCTTCGCTGGTGGAACAGACCACGCCTGCCGCCATCAACATTAGCACCCTGCCAGAAATCGCCCTACCATGGTTGTGGGAAACAGTGGATGCACAAGATCCGCATGTTTCATCCCAACTGAGTTTTTGTTTGTTTACAGGGTTTGGGAACCCGCTTTAGTCATAACATTTGGCTTTCACATCAAAGAGAGGGTTAATTTCCCAACGTCTCCCCCCTCCCCCGCAATCTCCAGACACATGGCAAGGGTTTTTGTTTTAGCTTGTTTGCACAACGAGCCTCATATTTGCAGACACGCCCCCCTACTACAGATACCTGCCTCGCCCAACTGCATGATGCCTGACTAGCGGGAGGTATGCACCGAGGAAAACCAGGCTTTTCGAAATATACCAACCAGACAACAGCAGGGTATCAGGACATAAGATTACAGGGTACCTCCAGGCCAATCACTGTCTTTTTTCAGCCCACCTGCCCATGAAAGCCCCGGCCTTCGTGGGTTCACGAACGTTTGCAGGGTATCCTTGTTCAGGGTTGTTTGAAAGGCAAGGAAAAAAATCCTTGGGACAGAACAAGCCTTTGAAGGGGGTGGGGGGCTCAAAGAAGCGCCTGCAGAAGCTGGGTGCCAAACAAGCCGAGGAAATGTGAATGTTTGTTGAAGCCGACCGCAGGCAAGGGTACGGATGGCATTCATGGACTTCCACTTTGGCTTGGCGTGGGCAAGTGAGAATATGCTGCTTCAGTGAGAGCTGAACAAGGGGAGATTAGGGGCCATTCAGGTTGCAACTACACCGAAACCACAACGGGATACTTATTTATGTAATTTGTGTATGTATAGATATCAGACATATTGGGCTTACAGTATGTGCTCAAATGCGGAGAGGGTTTCAAAATTTCTCATTGGCTGCTGCATGCCTCGCTTCGTGGAATCGAGGCGATGCTGCCTGGAATGTGCAGGAGGTGTGACTTGGCCCTCATCCCCCTTCAGGTCCAGACACCCGCCTGTTTTAGCTGCCTTCTACTCACCATACCCGCATGTTGTAGGAGCGTTTGTCGACACGTTACTAAATCAGGAGGAATTTTCACGGGAATGTGTGTTGCTTATCGAAGCAGAAATCATAACTGAGAACTGTGGATATTTGTAGTGGTACTGCGCTGTAGGTATGCTAAACTTGCCCCAACTTTTTGTTGGGCCTTACGCCTACTCAGAAGCTGGCATGATGCTGCAAAACGGGCATTGAATGTAGGGGGTAGATCAGTGGTCTTGCTTGCTCTTCGGTTTGACCGGCAACCAACCGTTGAATGTGGTGCAGGTCCCAATGGTTTCCCTCAAACCAATCCCAAAAGGGGGTACCAAAAGAACATCTAGGCGGGGTACGGGGAGACTCAAGGTCCTTCTTCGACATGGACCTGGACGGCGCAGACCTCGGGGGCCGAATTGATTGGATCCCCCCCGCAGAGGAGTTGCTGGTCACCAGCTACGTGGCCACTCGCCTGGAAAACGCGGGGGGAGATGGGGTCGAGTCCCTGAATGGGATTTTCGGGAGCTGTTTGGAACTCCATTTTTGGCAGGGGGTACATAGAAGAGCGTATATCCAAAGCAGGATGTAAATGAAACACCACGTGTTTGACACCTTTGGGACCTTCTTTTTTTTGCCAGCGGTCTGTCCGGTTTGGACCTCATAACCTGAAGATTCATTGGAGGCCTACTTGGCGGCCAATGCCTCTGGGGCTGCCTCCGATGGCCGCTTGCAGATCGCGGAGGTGGGAAAGGAAGGACGGGCCCCTCTTTGAAGGGAGACCAAAAGGACACCAATTTGGGGGAAGATGCCACCATGTACGGGTATACGGGATGACTCAACCAAAAGGAACGAATTCTGCCAACTTTTTACCCCAGTGGTGGCTGGTTCCAGTCGTCTGACAGCCTCAAGGATCGAAAGTTGAGGTTTGCCATTTCAGGTTTTGGGCTGGGAAATGGAGTTTTGAGTTACTTAAGTATGCTCCCCAACAAAACATGGACGGACATGTGCGTGTCCAACTGTTAGTTATTGTTTGAAATAATCCTTCCTGGTATTCGTTCCGATAGTTGTTTGTTTACGTTGTATTTGCCGAAAGCGTGAACGCATTTTGATATGTTTGTTCCCCCATTTCCCGAATGTTGTCTACATTATCCCAAGTCAAGTTGACCGTGGGGGATGCAAAAAGGGATGTGGGACAGTTCCTGGATTTGGGGTTGTTAAGCAGAGTTCCTACCTGCAAGGGTGCTGCCAAACATTGCCTTTTGGCAAAGCCAGTTAAACATGTGCTAACTTTATGCTAATGATGTTCACATCTTTCGACATCTAGTTGCAAAGCCCTGCAAAGACGGGGGACAAACGTCTATAGTTGAACTTCCTCAAACAACCTCACATATTCACTTTGTTTTACACATGTGTATATATATATATTAAACATACATGTACTCATACACATGTATATGTATGGATATATAGATATATATATATATACCCTGACATACAAGGGATCAACGGGATCAACTCAACTTTTCAAGGCCTAGCCTTTGAAGGTGTCCTACACCCAGCACTTTGCGGACTTGGCCCCGGAGCAGCAGCAAGACTTTGAAGGCCCGAGTCGGAGAGATCAGCCCCGGGGGGTCGCTCCGAGGGAGGCGATCAATCCGTGGAAAATTGGTGAATGGGCCTGGGGTGGTGAGTCAATATCAAAGTGATTTTTTCTGGAGTTTTCAACGTGGCGAAAAGATGGTCAGACCCAAAAGGTAGGCAAACTTGGTTAGGGGGTTGGGTGGCTAGGGTTCCCAAATATCCATCCCTTTAGATTGATCAGAACAACAGCTTTGAAGAAGCTCCTTTATGTTTCCTGGCGGTAGGGGTTTGGACCCAGGGGGTGGGGTGGGAAGAAACAGGTTTAGGCCCTTAGAAACGTGTTCCTGACCTGGAAAAGGAGCCTTGTTTTGAACGAGGGGATTCCTGAGTGCCCACCTTGGATCAAACAGGATTCCCCATATATGGATACAGTACAGAAAATAGGTAGACCCCCGAAAGGGTGGTGTGCCTTTGAAGTGCACGCCCCACACGTGTTTCTGCGTTGATTATGAACCGCTTCGAGCCTGATGACGAAGGCTCCCTCTTTGGTGGTTGATAATTTTAGTTTGGTGAGTTATGACCAATAGGAGAGTAAGGGGTTGTTCCCCCAAACAAACCGTACTGAGGAACCCGTGAAGCTCCAGAGTACAAAGACATCCAGAAGCAAGGAAGAAGGAAACGGACGCCAAGCATATATGTATGACATGTTGTCCATGATCGTGGTTAGCATTCATGTTAGTTCTATTTTGTGGATGTATAGTAAAGCATACTTCCAGCCGTTTGAACCTAGGTTTCCATTTTATGGTTTGCCATGGAACTCAGGTTTTGTTCTGGTTTCCTAGTGGCTTCATTGTTGTTGCCTGTCCTGATGGTTTTTCTGTGGTTTCGTTGTGTTTTCCGCCTGCTGTTACTTATCGCGGTGTCACTTGAACAAGGTCATTTCCTTGCGGTTCTCTGCTGATTTCCTCACAGTGTCCTTGTAGTTGTCTTCCTCCTGGGTTCCCTCGAAGCAGAGGTTCCGTTTTGGTTCCCTTGCGGTTTTCAAATTGTTGTCTCGTTTTTGCTTGCAATGTCCGTGAGGCGTCCTCCTTTTTTCACACTGTGTTCCTCATGCTTTCCTTGTGCGTTTCCTTGCGGTTTACTTGCTTGTGTGATTCCCTCCTATATTTGCCCTTTTGGCGGTTCTCCGACATAATTACAACATTCATAGCTTCCGCTGGGTCGTGTGTTTGGAGGTGTGTACATCTATTGAATGCCATTTGCTTCGATTGAGCGACGAAAACGCACGATGCAGGCGGCTTCCTCTCGCATGTGGTGGTTTTTACCAAGAGCTCGCTGGTGGAACAAACGACGCCTACGGCGCTGGAGGTGAACGACACTGCCGCCTCCGTGTCCGGCATCGTGCGCCTCGGATATTGGAGTTGAGAGTTCGGAGTCGGCACAAGCAACATCTGAGACAGGGCAATCCTTTTGGACTATATAGCTCTGTTGGTATGGATATTGATCATTTTGGCGGTTCCACTTTTGGAAATTTATATGGCCGCCCATATAATTTGTTTGGAGGCATGCCTGGGAAGCCAGCTGTTTGCTTTGGATTCGCCTGATACACACACCCGAACAGATTTTGTTTGTTTTGTTTCCCGTTTAAGCAACAATAGAAACGGGGCACACTTCAAATCCTAATACTCACACATGGAGGTATTGGTTCGGAGGTAGGAACCGCTTAATTTTTGGTTTGTCCTGTATGCGGTTTCATGAGGGAAGCAAAGACGCCAACCACGTCAGGTGTGAATATTTGGGGCTAAACAGTTGCTGACTATTTGTCGGCTTGAGATTTTCAGCTTCGGGAAAGGCGGACACGCAACAAACACATTGCACATGTGCTCAAGTTTCTCTTTGGCTTCCCTTTAAAAGAGGCACGACGTTGACAAACCGACTGAGAGGCACGACGTTGAAAAACCGACTGATTCTGACTTAATTTGACTTTAACCGTTCCCATCTTACTGATCAAGGCCCTTATACCGTACACCAGCATGCTTTCCCGCCAGCTTTCAGTTAGTTTTCGGCTGACTAAAGCCGTCAGACTGGGCTTCATTGGCTAAAGGGTTGTTAAGGGAATGGTATGATGTGAATGTTCAGCAAGTATTGACCCAAGTCGCTTTTGGATCAGCGCAATTATGTTAATCAAATGCCGGGTATTGCATAACCCCTTCACCCTTGGTGTCCGTATCTGAGTCTCCACATTCAATCGCCCCTGCACGAGGTTTGTGGACCGTGACCTGGACGAGGCGGAGCTGGGGGGGAACATCACCTGGCAGGCGCCGTTGGACTCCCAACTGGTGACCCTCTACTCGGCGCCTTGGCGTGAGCTTTCGTGAAAGCAGAGCGAGCGTACTGCAGCCCTCGAACAAACCCTATGGCGATTTGTTAGCCTTTGGTTGTCTTCAAGGTGGCATAGTAAGCCTAGAAGAGCATATTGTGCTTTTCTTTAGTAAGCATATTAAGTTTTGGGTCCTTGGCTACGCTTTAGTTTGCTTTAGCGTCCGGTGATTTTGGTTGGTTTAATGTTCCGCCTTGGTTTTCCGTTTTGTTTTCAGGCACAAAATGGTCGGGGCAAACCTTGGTAGCAAGCATCCAATTGGATGAGCATAAACACGTGTTGGCCTGAAGTTCATACCCACCACTTCAAAAGCCACCAGCACCAACCAAGCAAGGCCTAATTACCGCAAACAACTACCTCAAACCCACCACAAAACAAAATCTATACCAACACCACAAAGCCCATCAAATCCCCCCCAAACGCACCCAAACCAACCCTAACACGTGCCACACAGCCTCGAGGTTTACCTCTCCGCCAGCTTCGACGCCGAGAACCGCTCGCAGATTGCCACAGATGTGCCCATTGGCACCACCCTAGCGCAGCTGGCTCCGGAGACGCCGCAGCGCCGCTTGAAATCGAAGCCAGTTTCAGCGATTGCTCACAACTCCGGTGCTTCCCTTTGTCCTTTTTTTGGCGGGGTTCCCCTTCAAAAAGCAAGGGGGTCTGGGTTTAGTTGGGAGTTCAACATGTTGGACCCCCTTTGGTTGATGTTTAAAGGTATAAACCAAAGGAAACAAAAAGAATAGTGTTTTGGGGACCACGATTTCACCCAGTTGATAGTTTGATTATGTGTCAAAGCGGAACGTCTAACATGGGTACATGGTGTTGGTTTTCCCAAGAGCTACCCCAAAGAGCATCTACCCAAAGCGCCTTCCTGTCATCCAAAATGCCAAAATGCCTGACCTTGTTTGGATAAGTGTATTTTGAACCTGCCCAACACATCCAGTACAAGTGAGTGGCCAATCCACCTGGGTGCCGAATAGCAATCATGCATCCTGTTAGTTTTCTCAAAAGGATCCCAAAAGGGGATGGGCAAGCTTGAATTGTTGATGCCCCAAAAACCTCGCCAATCGTCTAACCGGAAACGACTGGTTGATGGAGACCAGCCAAATGGCAACCCAAACTCCATGGGAACCTAAGAACAACCATCCAATCCTCTTGAGACAACCCCAGCTGGAGCCCTGGGCAAGTTTCCGTTTTGTCTTTACGGAGGATGCCCGGTCAACCCGAGGGTTGAAGTCTTTGGGGGGTCTCACTGGAAGAATCAAGGGGATCCCCTAGGAGCTTTCTGCACTGTGAGTTTCCTTGGCATGTTATTCGCTCGGACATGTATCCTGTCGGGCCCAGACAAACAATAGACGTGTGTTGCTTGGAAAGCCACTGGATGAATTATACCCTGTACAAAAGGCCGGATATTTGGATTGCTTTGGCGACAAGTCGATGGCCTCATCAGGTATGGGAGTTGGAGCATTGGAGCGTATGTGGCACTGATACAAAGGTGTGCATTAACATATACTGCAGTCTGTTAGTGACACCGGGGCAGACCCAATTTGTGCGCGCACACACACACACATCCACAGACATGGTTTGTGAGCAACTACCAAAATATGTCCAAAGGGACATTGTACAATGGGTCATGTGTTTTTTTTTTTTTTCATTTATTGTTTTTGTGGGACACTTCGTGAGTTTTTGTATGTCCCTTCGAAGGGTTACCATGATCCTAAAATCGACCACCAGAAAACCCAAATAGGTTTTTGGCAGGCAAGCCCTCCCAATTTTAGGCTGCGTGTTTTTTTGTCTACCTGATGATGTTCAGTGGGAGTTGGTGTCTTCTCATGCCCCTGTAGTGCTGCACTATTTGGGCTTGTCAGTTGTTTGTAGATACATTAGGGGGCCTAAGGCTAGGTTTAAAGCTGGGTCACGAGTCATAAACATAGACATAGACATTGATATAGACGAGACATACACATATACACTTACATAGACGTTGAAATAGACAGTGCCAGAGTCATGCATAGACTAGACCATCAAATATGGCCAGCTCAAGGAAGAGCCCCTCAAGGAAACTTTAAGGGAACCCCCTAAGGAAGCCCTTAAGGGAAACCCCTAAGGAACGACACCGATGCACAACGACTACTACTGCCATGTTTCCCGCTTCGCTGCAAGTTGAAAGCAAACCGCTAGCGTGCAGGACAAGTTTTCAGATCTTGATCTGGCAGAGTGCAACAAAGTTTCAAGCAGGCAGGACATGGACCGCAGCACTGGACAACAGGCCGGGACTGGCGCGCTCAGAGCAGAGCTGGTGGCTTCGCCCAGAGTCAGAACACGCTCGACCATTTGTTCAGGAAGCTGCTTCCACTTGCGGGCTTTTTGAATGAGTCGCAGGCCTTGAAAGACAGGTTCAGGGCCAATTGGCCCTTGTGCTTCCCTTACCCTGGGCCGACGCCCAACGACTACCACTACTACCACGCTTGCCCCTTGCGACCCTAGACAGACAGCAGTCGGCAGGCAGCAGGGGCCCCGCCCTTGCCCGAGCCGGTTGCAGCAGAGGGCCGGGCCAGCTGCCGAATTCGGCCAAGCTCCTACTAATTTGCGACAATTCAGCTAATTTTCGGACGGATTTTCGATCTTGCAAATCACCGATTGCCCGGACCGAGGCCGGGACGACCAATTGGAGCACAAAGAAAGCACATGTAGGAGCACAAAGCACAGCGCAGCAAAACTCCAATTGCCGCCGCCGGGGCTCTCTATATTAAATCTTCATCACGGAAGAACCACACATAGGAGCACACAAAAAGGCTCTGCAGAACCAGAACTGGGAGCACAAAGAGGAGCGCAGAAAAAAACAGCGCTGCAAAACTCCAATTGCCGTCGCCGGAAATTTCGCTATTAAATCTTTATCGTGGAAACCACATATAGGAGCCCCAAGAACAGCACCGCAAAACCACAGCTGGAAGCACAAAAGGACCAGCGAAAAGCTCAAGTTGCCTGCCCCCGGTAATATTGCTACTAATTCTTTAGCACGAAAAGCCACAGACAGGAGCCTCAAAGAAGCACATCAAAACCACAACCGCAAGCGCAACAAAAACCACTGCAACACTCCAATTGCCAATTGCCAGGGTCTCGCTGGAGTCTCGCTATTAACTCTTCACTGTGGAAAGCCACAAATAGGAGCACACAAAAACAACAAAACCACAAATAGAAGCACAAAAGAACTGCCGCAAACTCCAGCTACCGTCCCCGAAGATCTTGCCTACTCACTCTGCACCATGGAAAAACACAACAGGAGCACACAAAAACACCGCATAAATTTGCTGGGAGGTTTATAAAATTACCTTTTCCGCTGGGACTACGAGAGTGATTTGTTGTGCCGAAAACTCCCAAGACCCTTAAAAACAACAAAGAAGCGTTAGTGTGCTAGGGCAATATTTATCACATTCATTATTATGTACTAGTTGAATCAATTTGTTTCAAGGTCGCCGGGGATATGCCCCAAGATGCAGAAGGAGTAACTGAGCTTAATTTGGTATTAACAAAAGGAAACCACTTGTTGTTTCCGCCGTTTTTGTGCTCCTATGTGTGCCCCCTGTTAGTGCTCGGAAGGCAGACCAATGCATATATAAATATGTACATATTACATATCCATGCGTGGCCTGTGCAACCTGATAGGGGATTGCCCTTTGCAGTTTCTCATGGCTCCCTGAAACTCGGCATAATCCGTTTGTTTCGCTTGGCCGAACTGTCCTGTTAACGTATCTCCGAAACTGGCTCTACACTCCTGCAGATGAATATGGAACACCCACACACGCACAAGCCCACCGTAGGATCCGTCTTTGAGGATCCCCCTTTTCGTTTCTACATCATTCAACGGCTGATATGTTCTTCAAATTAGTATCCATTTTAATCCTTTAAGGCCTAATGGTTTGGAGCCCTGGCCAAGGGTGGTTCACCTATGTGAACATCTACACCAAGTCCCCGGTGATTGAACAGACGACCCCAGCCTCTCTCGTGATCTCGGACAGCGTCGCGTTGCTGGCCCGAAATCAGCGGGTTCAAGATGGGAGCAGGGATATCAAAAAGAAAGCCTCTTTTTGAGACAAACCAGGTTTCCTCGATCGTCTATGGTCAACTTGTGAGGGACATGGTGGGCGATCTCTACATGTCAACCGCACATTTACCCGTTCTCTTTGTCCCAAAAGTGGAAGTCTTTAACAACCAAATTCGGCCCGCATTTGATGGTTTAGTGAATATATTTGTGTTGCTTTATCAGATATTGTTTTTGGCGGTTCTTTGCCGTTTCTTTTCCACTGGGGTATGTCAAATTTGTGGAGGCGCGGTAACCACATTTTGCTTGCTCTAAAAACCAAAGACCACCTATCTTGTGGGAACTCCGAGGCCTACGGCATTCCTTATGGGCACCTTCACGCAACATAATATAGTACTTGCTCCCCACCAGCAAACATGGAGGTATCAGAGGCCCCTTGCGGAAAATTGGTCGAAGAGACCCCAGAATCCTTAGACGGGTTTGCCTCATGTGGGAGTTATCCAGCATGGGTTGGTGACCTGAGTCCCAAAACGAACACATTCCTATGTGTGCATACATATTTATATATATACATATATATATATACGGATATGTATGTACTACTGTTTCCAAAGTCAAAGTCCAGCGACCCGCAAAACTGATACCGGAGCCTTAATGGCCTGCGGCCTCAAGCGCCCTCCGTCGTGAGAATTCATTCTGTCAGCCGCTTTGCGAAGCAGCCTCCCAAAGAACCCACCGAGCTCACGAGCGCAGGAATCGGCCCCTTGCTTTTCAACACCTTGTGGCAAGACTCGCCACTTTTTTGGTGGGTTTTCTGGGGTGTAAGCTTACACAGCGAAGATCCTCCCGTCGATCTCAATGTCCCCGGAAACCAACGGCTGGGACCCGAACTGGGACTCTCAGAAGGCTAGAAACCCCATGGCAAGCGGTATGGGTTGGTGGCCTCTTCTTGCCTGTCTTTTTCGTTCCCGTATTCGTTCGTGCAGTAAGTAAGGAATTGAAGCCCTCATGTTGGGTATTCAGAGCAACCCAACAAGTGATCAGCATTTGTTCAACCAGGTTCTTGGTAAAGCAGGTAAGAGAAACACAGCTGTTGGAATTTGCTGGCTTGTCTCCAATTTCTTTGATGCCATCGGGGAAACCCTTTTCCAGCCTTGTTTCCGTATGTTGCCTTCGCCCAAACTCCATACACCCAAGGAAGCCCCCTTTAGAACATAATTTTGACCTGACAAGGTTGCAGGTCCCTGAATGAGGGATGTGCCATGCCTAAGACTGCCTGGCACGCTTTACCCTCATCGGTTCCGTTGTGTTTTCTTGAACCACACCTCGCATCTACTCCCAAAACTTGGGCGATTCGTACACAAGAAACTACGATCTATAGCTTCTTGTGCCTACTCATATTGCAATCTGAAACAAAAGACAGACCGCTTTCTGATATGGGGGGTCTTTTTCGAAGCTACCTTTTTGGGGATTTAGTTCAAAGGGAAATTCAACGGACATCGCCCATGTCGGGCCTTGGAGACAACCCCATGTCACGATTTCCGTACAACACCTTCTTACTTGTTGCTTTGTCGCTTTGCCAAATCAACTTGCCAAATGTGCTCATCTCAGGGTGCTGGCGGATGTGCAGCTGGTAGATGAAGACTTGGACGCACCTCGTCGAGAGCTGAACAGATATGTGTTTGTTTTTGTTGTGTGCTTTCTTTGTTTGTTTGTCTGTCTGTCTGTCTGTTTGTTTGTTTGTTTGTTTGTGTGCATGTATGTATGCATGTTATTTTTGTTGATTTTATGTCTGACAGTGTGACTGCCTGCCTGCCTGCTCGCCTGCCTGCCTGCCTGCCTGTCTATCTGTCTATTTGTCTGCCTGCTCGGTGTGTGTGTGTGTGTGTTGCATTGGTTTGTTTTGCCGGTTTGTCTGTCTGAGCTGTGTGGATTGCGTATTGTCCTGATTGGGGTTGTTTGTTGGTGTGTGTGTGTGCGTGTGTTCATGTGTTTGTGTGTGTGTTTGTGTCTGTGTTTGTGTCTTTGTGTTTGATTTTTCTTGCGTTTGCGTATGTGCGTTACTTAGATACCTGGCCAGACAGTTACTTGGTCTGTTGTCACGTAAGTTAGTTAGTTAGTTAGTTAGTTAGTTAGTTTGGTAGCTAGCCAGTAAGTGAGCGAGCGAGTGAGTGAGTGAGTGAGTTAGTTGTGTTTCCAGTTCCGCTGCTTGTGTGGTTGTCGTGGTTGTCGTGGTTGCTTGTTTGTTTGCTTGTTTGCTTGTTTGCTTGTTTGGTTTGCTTGTTTGCTTGTTTGTTTGTTTGGTTGGTTGGTTTGGTGTGTGTGTGTGTGTTTGTTTGTTTGTTTGTTTGTTTGTTTGTTTGTTTGTTTGTTTGTTGGTTTGTTGTTTTTGTTTTTGTTTGTTTGTTTGTTTGTTTGTTGGGTTGTTGGTTTGTTGGGTTGTTGGTTTGTTGGTTTGTTGGTTGGTTGGTTGGTTTGTTGGTTTGTTGGTTTGTTGGTTGTTTTGCTTGTTTGTTTGTTTGTTTGTTTGTTTGTTTGTTTCTCTGAGTGTTTTTCTTGTGCTTTGCTTTGTGTTTGTCTGTTTGCTTGCTTGCTTGCTTGCTTGCTTGCTTGCTTGCTTGCTTGCTTGCTTGCTTGCGTGTGTGTGTGTGTGTGTGTGTGTGTGTGTGTGTTTGTTTGTTTGTGGCGTTGTTTTGGGTTTCGACTTTGTGTTGACTTTGAGTGCTTCTAAATGTTGCTGATCTAACCATTTCACTCTCGAAAACGATGTAGAAAAACAAACAACAAACACACGCACATAACCCACCCACCCATCCACCCACCCACCCACCCCACCCACCCACCAGCCAACCACCCAACCAAGCAACCAACCGACGCAACACAAGGCAGGGACCCCACGGATGCCAATCCCAAAACAATCTTGCAAGGGATGCTGTAACTTTGAGGGGGTTGCACCCCCGAATTCATCCGACTGGTTTGATGGCTGGTATCCGAAGTCGACATGAAGTCAAAATAAGGGCCACGACAGTTCAAACAGGGCCACATTCAAAAGGCCAAATCAGGGCCCTCAAAAGCCCAGAAAGCTTCCAAGGTGGTCTTTCGTCTTGGAGTTGGTTTGTGGTTTCGGCTGAGGCAAATGAGCTCGGAGGCAACATTAGCTGGCGAGTGGTGGAGGAGCTGGATCTCATCACTACCTTCGCCGTGTGCCTCGCTGGCCAAAAGCACAAATATATGAATATCCAACACGCTCTACAGCAAATGCTTTTCATCCTTCACGGTATAGATAAACAAAAACACAAAAAGCACGACTTGGTTTTAGGATATATTATCCGCGGGCCCATCTCTAGGGAGCGTGCCTGAGGGTAAACCGAGCTTAGGCCTCAGGTGTGCATTGTGTTGAGTGGGACTGCAGTTGTTGCTTTGTCATAAGTTGGGTGTGTGTGTGTGTATGTTCTTGCTTATATGCTGTTTTTCAGGGAAATCAACAGTGGCAACATGATGGTCTAACATGTTTCTTGGTAGGTAATCCGTTCGGGGTAGTGTTATGTTTCAAAAGGCCCCAACGAGAGCAGTTTGATTCCTTTGTTCTGGGTATGTGTTGTTGGCTTTTGCTACCATACCAGTGGTTTGGACGAAGGTTCTCATGTTTCCTGCCTTGGCTGGTGGACACATCACTGGTTCACCTTTAATTAAGTTTCCCTTTGGTGGGGCGATGCTTAGGGAGGGACATGCTGACATACCCCCTACGCATACCCATATCTTTCAGGGGCGGATTTTGAACAACCACAGTTTCTATTGTGAATAATTTCTTTGTCCAGAATTTCATCATAACTTGGAGAATTTGGAGCGGGGCCTCTTCGGAAATAGCGACCCTTGGAGAGTCGCGCCGCAGGTATTTTACGTCAAACACCTCCTGGCAAGGCCTTCGTAGACGCACCGGTGAGGATCGATGGGCGTGGGCATGGTCGGGTCTCATTCTGTGGCTCTTTTCTGCTCGGGAACCGCCTTCTCTGGCAGGTTTTGAAGAGAGTTCACAGGGCAACTTTTCATTTGTTGTTGTCTATTGTTAGACACACACCCATTGACTCTTACTTAGGGAAGACTTTCTATTCGCATGTCCAACTTCCCTGGTTTTGGAGGAACACGGGGCACTGGTGAATGTTGTGTTGTGTAGTGTCAGCTGAAGGAATTGCGCATAGTCTAGTACCCCCTTGACCCTGCCGGCATAGCACAGCTCCTGGTCCCTCCAAGATAAGCCCCTGTTTCATCTGACTGTGGGGCTCGGGGAGAAGTTGGGATTTAATGAAACCGGCTCTCCGGCAGATCAATCCTCCCTCCTTTGTGTAAGGCGTGAATTCCTTCAAACAAAGACAATATTGGCGTTCGCCATCTGCTGCATTGGTATTGACATGGGAGCTATCCAGAAGACTGTCCTTGTATTGAGATATGATGGGGAAGGCCAATCGATCTTGTGCGTTGGACCTCGTGCATGTTTGCTTTTGTTTAAGAAACGTTCAGAGAACGTAACTGCGAAAGCTCCTCGATGGAGGTTGCGAAAGTCACAGTGAGTGCTGGCACGAGTACTTTGGTTGCTGAGCATGTCTGCCAGCGTGAACGGCGTGAACCAATGTAACTTCAGGTCGCAACTCGAGATGTCAGCAAGAGCCAACACCCTTATCAAAGGAAGTGTAGAAGGAACTTCCGCGTTACGGACGCGCGTTGAAAGGTAGTCTTGTGAAACGACGAGATTAAGAAAGAGTGAATGCATGCGCGAGAACGTGCATGAGGCAGAGGACGGTCCCGGAGCAGGCTCGGAACGATCTCGGAGCGGGCTGGACCCGGGCCCATTGGCACGGATGTGCGCACGTTTCGCGACGTCAGCTTTGCGTGGCAAGCGCAGCACTTTGGCGAGCTGAGGTCCTTGCAGGCGCAGCATCTTGCTGCGTTGGTATGGCAGGCGCGCTGCGGTGTAGATTTCGTGGCAGAGGCAGGCGCAGATGGCAGGACAGGGACAGCGTTCGGCAATGCTGGCATGGGCAGCACTTTCGCAAGGGTTCCGTGGCAGGCGCAGCCCTTTTCAAAGGGTCAAGTGCAGATTTCGTGGCAAGCGCAGTACTTTCGCAAGGTGGAGTGCAGATTCCATGGCAGGCGCAGCACTTTCGCAAAGTCAGGTGCGTGGCAGGCGCAGCTCTCTCGATAGATAGACAGGAAGATGGGAAGAGAGAGGAAGAGAGAGAGGGAGAGAGAGAGAGAGATAGAAAGAAAGAAAGATAGACAGAGCGAGATAAGATAGAACCCGGGCAGCGTAGAACAGGCAAGCAACCGCACCAGACACCGACCTCAACGCACAACCGACCTCAACGTCGGAAAGCGCATGAGTTTGCAGAGGCAAGCATGTTGAACATGCAAACGGCTCTGCGTGACCTAGACCATTCTAGACCTCAACGTCGGGAAACGCATGAGTTTGCAGAGGCAAGTATGTTGAACATGCAAACGGCTCTGCGTGATCTAGCTGCTCCCTTCTTGGTGGGAATTAAGTGGCCCCGTTTCAATGGTTTGTTTGACTGGTACAGAGGGCCCAGTTGCGGGCCCACTTGGTTTTCCAGAACTTGAGTCAGAAGGCAAGCTTCCCATCTGAAACTCCAGAAAAGCCCCACGCTGATTCGGAGACAGCTGGAAAACTCCTGTTGTTGTTTTTGCTCCGTTTTAGAATGATCCTCCTTAAGCATGGACCTGGAAGGGGGATTTCGACCCCGGGAGATGTTTGTCGCGCATGAGCTTCAATTAAAACCCTGTGATGAACATCATTTATAAGCGATTTTTCTACCCACCATGTGCCAATAGTTTTCCTAGTTAGACTTATTGTCGTGGACTACGACCTCCCTGTCCGTGTTGGAAGGATGTTGTGGTGGCTGAGTACGCGCAGCTTTTCATCCCGCCAGAGACCGACCCGCCGTTGAGCAGCTACAGCGGCTTTGCAAGAAGATCATTTCAGTCCCCCCAGCTAGGGTCTGGTTTTAGTAGTTGGCTGCGTCTTTCATTTTAGCTTTTGGAAAAGTGCGTGTTCCCCAACTAACCAACAAATGGTTTTTTGCAGAGGGGCAACAACCACAAGTATTTGAAGGCTGACTCAGTATGAAGCAGAATCTGAACATATGTTTCTTGGTGAAGCCCGAGGTTGGGCCAAAGTTCCTGCTACAGTCACCCGAGCAGTGCAGACAGTTGGGGGAAGGGTTGTTTTCAATGAGTAGAAACTTGGTATTCAGCTGGGGTTTGTAGAGTCCGTGGGGCAAGAGCCACAAGCCTTGGTGGCTTGAACATGGTCTCATGTCTTAACAAATTTCGGCGACCTCACTGTGAGCAAAGGAAGCGGGGATTGTGTAAGAGCGGGGCTGTTGCAGACTCCTGGCTTTGAGTCTCGAAGTATTCCAGATTGGTCCCACAACCTTCCAGCGCCACCCTCCCTCAAGCCCTGTTTGTTTGTTTCTCTGGTCATTTGCCGGAACAACCGCGTCCACGTCTGCACTCAGAAGCTCCTTGGGGATGGAAAATCATAGGGGGCGGGTTCTTCTTTTGACGCTCGGTACCCTTTTTAGTCGTGTCAGAGGGAAGCCAAATGGAAGTCACCAACTTTTGGGGTTCCCCTATTTTGAGACACTCCATAGACTATGTTGATGCCAACAACAATTGTATGTTCATACTTCGATTTTTGAATTGACTTGAGGGCCAGCTGCTTTGTTTTCTGTGGAAGGATTCGGACAAAGGTTGGCTTGTCTTGGTTTCTTTGTCACACCATCCACAAGGGATGATCTTGGGATTTAGTAGGTCCTCATCCCCTAATTTGTAGGGAGTTCCGTTGAACACACTCATAAAGCAGCTCATTTCTGCATTTGGTTGCAGTCATCACAATGTAGTGCCTCGGGGTTTTCCGCTGGGGGAGTTGCTGTGACCCCTTTTGGCATCATGTTTTTTGAGATTAAAAGGTGCACTCATTCTGCCACTGAACCTGCAGAAGCTGCAAACCAGTAGCTAGATTTGGGGAGGGGAGGAAGACTTACTCAGTGGAGGAGTCCTCTTGTTCTCCCTTCTGGGCACTTAGACAATAGCTGGTTCCCACTAATCTCCCCGTGGCCCCCGTACCATCATTGTGAGTTAGGATCATAGGGATGGTTTGAGGGTCGTCGCATGTTCTCCGAGGGTCGCATGTTCTCCGAGGCTGGGCCTCCGTGTTCCCTTCATCTTCGTTGGCGGAGCGTACCACGCCCTTCTCCGCCCCGGTGAACGACACGATCTCCCCTGCTCCTCGATCGGAGAGTGGCCGAGCTGATAGCAAAATACAACAGACCTCTGTTTGGGTTCTCTGTATCCCTCAAGTGCTCGGAAACAACAGTGGCGGACACCAAATCCAGATGCCAACGGTTGGTGAATTGCAACACTTCACCCAGATGGTTTTGAATTGTGCGGGTTTATGTCGGCGCTTTCCGTGAGTGGCCCTTGGAGAGCTCTCCTTCAAAGCGACATTCAGTCATGGGGACCCTCGCTCCAAGAATCATGTAAGGTGACAGCAAGATATTGCACAACTGCTTTGCTGTCGAGAAACCCTGGTTGCTTCCATGCGCTTGGAAGGAGGGGTACGTACCAGTCTGGCATCGCAGAAGCGTTGTTAAGTGATCTTTGGGGGCTTGAGTGGAAGTGCGGAAACTCGTGGAGGAACAGGTTGTCGGACCCCGCACCCTTGGAATGTACAGATCATTGGGCCCTGGTCCTTAAGCCAGGTCTTTGGCACCCTGCCCCATTTCGGACTTCCATCCATCTTCCGTGCTTTCGTTGCCAGGATATTCACCTAATCTCACATGAAACTGTCCCGGTTGTCTCTTTTTGCGCCCCTGCATCCCCGTACGGGTGAGCATTAACCAGAGAACCCGGTAGCCTGGTTGTGTCTCTGAACTTGCCCTTTCCCACCACCCATGTCAGAAAGTTGCAGCGTCTTCGTGAGGTCCTTTCGGGTGGTTGAAGCATCATCTTTGAGTTGCCCCTTTGGGAGGTTGTTGATAGGTGGGAGTTGCTTTTGTTTCTTCATGCTTTGAAGAGAAGGAACCCTGAAATGGTTTCGAACAGCGTTCGAACCTGGTGCCTAGTTCCAGAGCAGTGGTAATTTGAAGCTGCACCAAATGTTGTGTTATAGAAGCAGCATATGCCCCCTACTCTAGATTTCCGGTTTGCTTGTGCGTGCATCTTGAAAACGGATACCCCCGTGCAAATTTGACGTCACATACATCCAAAGGCCATGCCAATCAGAGGAATCCCTGAACAATTAATCTTGCACAAGGGGCTGTTCTTTTTATTAATCCAACTTTACGGCGCAAACCGTATCTGTCTCCGAATAGGGAACCCTTTTCTGAATCTTTTTCAATGGGAAACCAATGGAAACCACTCCCCCAGCTCATTTCGAACCTTGCCAGGTTTGGAACATCTCGTTCACGGATTTGGACCTCGACTTGCAGGACCCAGAGGTATCTGATCTGTAGCCGTTCAGAGTGTGTGTGTGCGTGTGGTTTCCCGGGTTGTTGGATCAGTGTTTTGCCAGTGTCATAGATTGTAAGCGATTTTGCCCTGTATTTTGCGTCACTTGTTTTTGTGTTTTTCCTTGTGGCTACACATGAGTCTGTTTTCAAATTGTCTGACTCCCAGGCTTGGGTGGGTGCCCTTGCCTAGCCTATGGAGAACGCATAGCGCTGAAGATCACATGTGTGGTGAATGCAGAGTGTTGAGCGGCCAATCTTCGCAGGTGATAAATAATTGGCCCACAGCAGTGAATCCAACATAGTTGACCACCCTGTGGTCCTGTGGTCAAGTACCGCTTGACGACGGAAGCCCTATCAGGCCTGGCCTTTTCACCCCTTCATCAATCCTCCTCCCTCCATCCCCGCCCACTGACTGCAGGACCTGGGCGGGCGCATCACCTGGACCGAGCCCTTGGAGGCGTCCCAGGCGCGGGCCGCGGAAGTCGGCAACCGAGCGAATTCACTCGGACGGCGATCCCTTGCTTCTGAACTTTTTTGCGCAGACTTGCCAAGCAGAAGGAAACCACAAATCAGTGTTCAAACAACCCATTCCAAGAGACCCGAAAATATGTTGAAGAACGCATGGTGGTTTTGGGGAGAGGGAGTTACAGGTAGCTTGTAGTACCCAAATGTCCCAACCAATTTCGCGCCTTAGATGTGGAGCCCGTTTCATATTGAATATTGACCCCTGCTTGCCCAGGTTTGGCCAACTTCTTGTGGAATCGCGCTTGTGGGGTAGATGTGCGCTTCTTGTTTTTCCGAAAAGGGCTCTTACAATCTCCACAAACGTAGTGCCCTACTTTGCCCATGCAGGAAAACAGGGCGTTTCACAAAATGGCCTCACCCAGCCAAGGAAATTGTGTGGTTTGCTCGTGCACTGAATAGGGAGGTCCACAATAGGAACTAACGCGGGCCTCTGTCTCAAAAGACCGGCCTACTGGAGGGTGGTCGTGGATTCTTTAGATAGGGGGGTAGACAATCAGTTGTCCAGGATTCCTTCTAAATTGACATATAAGCCCTTTGACATCGGCTGGTCGGTTTCCCTTTTGGCTTCATTTTACAGGTAACCCCAAAGGGGGAGATTCTCATTTGAGACGGCCGCCACACACCAGATAGTATGGGTGTCATATACTGTTTCAGGATGCAACCCGACTGCAGGTTCGTTAAAAGGAACTACCTTGAAGTAGGTCAGCATTGCAATACAACCATTTTTATGGTGAGTATATCCATGACGTTGTCAAGCGAGGCTGAAGTGTGACCGTCGGTGGTGTACCCGTGCACTGCAATTGACTGGGGAGCGCACCGATTCCGGCGTAAAACTGTGGTTTTGAGAATTATTGGCCGTTGGAATGTTACGATTTCCAAACTGACAAAGTCTACCTCGGAACAACTTGCGAGTTGAACAACAGCAACTGTCCAAAGAGCTACACTTAAGGAACTGAAGATCTGTACTGACAACGTCGTCTTCAGATATCAGGGTGTGCCCTTTCGCGGGAACCCCTGTTGGTGTGAAGGGCAGACGGAGAGTTTGTGGGCGCATGGAGGTCACGCACTACCTTGTCTATTTGTCCGCAAACTCCTCGGGCGAAGCGCGGTCTCAAGTGGCCAACGAGGCGTGGCCCACGCCAATCAGCCCCACACTGACAAGTTTCGAGGGGGATATGATAGTTTTTTCCACCCACCAGGTTTTTGGGCCTACAAACGACAAGGTGAAATGGAGCTCACAAAACAGGCTCAGGGTTGGGTCCCCAACCATAACTAACCCCCTTAAGAACATCCTTCCTGGGCAGGGGGTGGGGGGGGGAGGGCCCTGCCTTGTTTCCCCTACCTGGACCACACCCCAAAAGGAATCGTGGAACTTAAAACCTTCAAGCAAGGCCACACCGTGCCCATTTTGAGGTTCTGTAAATCCTTTGCGGAAACGAGTTTACGGGCTCACCGATTCGAGGGAACGACGAGCGATTCCACTCATGATGAGAACATTTCTTTAATGAATTGGGGTTCCGTATATGGAGTTTGTAGCATTTTGTGCAGGACTCCTTTGCATAATTATCTTGCCAGTGGTTTTGTTCGGAAGATGTCCGGTCTGCTTAGATGTTCACCTCGGTTTTTTCAAAGGTTACGTTTCAAGCACCGTTGAGCGTGTCTAGCTTTGTGTGTGTAGAACACCTCCACTTGTTTTGCGTGTTTGTTTGGGAAGCCTGCACTTGTCGGAGGGTGTGTTTTGCAAGGCCTCAACTCGTTCCAGGGCCGTTTACTGGAATGACTGCGCAGGCCCCACCCGTTGCAGCCACCGCATCGTCGCTGTCGCTTTGGCGAGCCGTGTTGTTTGTGACTCTGATTTCCTGCAGGGAGGACATCGTTATTTGCAACTTATTTGTCTTTGGTTTCCGATTGAAAGAGCATACGTTTATATTATGTTATCTTCAATTCAATCCAGTAGGATCAACGCTCCACGTGGGTGCGGTGCCTTTTTGGATGGGACACCAACGGCAAACCAAAGGAACACCGAGGCCTTTTTGTTTTGGGGTGGGTTCTCATAACCAAGCAAACTATTGTTTCTCTCCGGGGACCCGTGTTTGGATGGCTTGAAGGGAAACCATAGAGATGCCATGGCCACCTGGAGTCCAGGGTGCTGTTTGGATTCGCTTGTGGTGGTGGTGCAATGAGTACAGTGCCTGTAGGATATAGTGATAGAATAGCCAAAGCCTGCAACAGAAAGGAATCCACCAGGAGCAACTGCAAGCTACCGAAGCCTGGATCTGTTGACAGTGTTTTCGATTGGAAGGTTCCCATTGACCAACTCTTCATCGACCTCGTTCCGGAAACACCACAACTGGACCGAAGCTTCATTGTGGCTCGGCCGACAGGCTGGAGGGTGGAGCATCCACAAAGATGCACTTTTGAAAATTGGAACTTTTGGCTAGGGAACTTCAAGGGATTTTGGGGTGGGTTCCCTGTTGGGAGGTTGAACGTAGAACATGCAGGAATTCAAGCGCAGAACATGCAGGAATTCAAGCCGACATGGTCATTTAGTTCCTCGATGCTTGCTTTTCGCTTCTGTATCAAAAAGGTGGGGCATGTTCTCATGTTCATTGACACTTGCATGTGATCCACGATCCATATTGATTGAGGTAGAGTCAGCGGACATTCCCAGCCAGAAATAAGTGGTGCAAAATCATTATTGATTCTTGGTCAGGGACTCCTTTAGTGCGGGTGTTGTTTGTGACTCAGCCGATTGTTTCCCAACGAGGTGTCGCTTCGGCATGTGCCTCGGCTGTTCACCAGGACCCAAAAGTTAAAGTTACAGCCAAAATGAATCGACCTGGCAGACCCTTTGTTTTCTTCCCACCTCCGTTCTTTGGGCATGCTTGGTCAGACCCAAATGCAGGGCCGCCGGGGTCCAAGGTCAATCACAGTTTGTATAAAAAAAACACTGTATTATGTTCTAAACTCCTCTCTCGAACCGTTTTTGGCTTTATACACCCTTTCGTTTTCTTTCCCTTTTGTGTTATACCAGGTCGTTTGTCACGTTTTCTTGATAGAAATGCTGTACAAGGTCGTGTGTCATTTCCCCTCAAAAGTACCAAGAACATTTACCCATTTGTCCAATTGTCCTCTTTTTTCAACTCGTCCTGCGCCCATTTCCCCTTAGTCGCGTGTGAAAAGGGTCCACCAATGTTGCACCTTTTGATGTACAACGTGTGGGGGCATGTGTTGGTGCCTTTTTGTTGGGGGGGGTGCTCCAAAGGCCGGCGGTTGTTTTTTGGGGGGGTTGTGGGACCGAGTAGTCAAAAGGGGAGCACTGCTCCTATTCAGGTTGCTTAAAAGTGTCTTTTTGCCTTTATCATGAGGTAGTTTGGTTTCACTGTTTGGGCAGCCTGGTAAGTTGGCAAGTTGGTTGGTGAGTTGGTTGGATGGATGGATGCATCCATTCGATGGCTGTGTACTTGGTTGGCGTTGGCCCTCGAGGTTGTGTATACCCGCTCGGTGCTTGCAGAGTCGACCACGCCCAGCTCCTTGGCCATCTCCGATTCCTTCGCCGTGGCTGAGGCCTGCAAGTCACTACAGGGAGCCTATGAGGGTAAGGGAACGGCTAAAAAGGTTGATGTTCCCTTGGTTCCCCTTGAATTTAAGTACCAATTGAAAGTGGATCCGAAATCTATTTTTAGAAGTACCCAAATGGGGGTGGGTTGTTGAGGGTTGCCTTTTCACCTTGGTTTGCAGAAAAACCAAAAGAAGAACCACAATCCTGGGGGCCCCAATTTTAACGCATACCCACCTATTTGTATGGATTGGTTCGTTTTTCATTCTGTCCAACATTTCCAGGGGTTATGAGTTGCGTTGGTTCCGCCATCCTAAATCCTGTTTGATTCGATAGAACCAGCAAAAGGGCAACCCCACAAAGAGTTGGTTCCCTTCTTCTACCAATTTCACAGGGTCAGTGGGGCTTGACTCCTTGACCATTTGTTTCAACCATCTCTCTTTTCAACAATCAGCCGTTTTGCCTGGAGTTTTCGCGTGGTTTTCTGAAAGTTTATTGCACAAAGCCAGCCGTTAGTTACATCTCCAGAAGAAAGGAGTTCCAACAGCCAGAACATGGACATCAGGCGAAGCAACATGATGATGCTCAGCAGTTGTTTGGTGATGTTGACACAGGTGGCAGTGCCCAACGTTTGTTTCCCCGGCCTGAAACCTGCTGAAGTGGCCGGGCACTGAGTGGATACCTGTCTTAGATGAAACCTCTTTGGATTGCCCCCTCGCCCCAACCTCAAACAAATAACATCCTCTTGGAAGTATGGAGCAGTACCCCTCCCCGACAAATGAATCAGTTGTTCGCCTGGAAGTACGGAGTCCAGCCTTGCCCCACAAATGCATTTTGTCATGCCTGGGCCAGCTACCAGCGACTGACTTTGTCCTACTTCAAAGTGCAAAGCTGGGAACTGCAGAGGCTTCGGGCAGGACTCACAATTCGAATATGGATGATATCCTTAGTTTCCCTAGATTTGATTGACGATTGGGTGGATGGACATGTCCATTGGCAGAATTATGTTTGTTCGTATGTCTCCAAGAACTGTTACTAGCAAGCCGCACGAATTCCCTCGCGGAAGCTACCTTCCTCAGTTTCCAGAAGCAACTTGCCTACGGAAGGCCCGCGGACGCACTTGTGTAAACTTATACATAAACTTGCTCGCAGAAGGTACTTGACGCCGCAGAAGCTTCGCGGAAGGTTTCGCGTCAACCGTTTCATTTGTTTGTGGAGAGCATTTTTTTAGGATTTGTGTTTCGTTTTTTGTTCTTCCTTTTTTCCTTTTTTCTTTTTTTTCTTTTTTCTTAAGGGTGGGTGGCTTTTTGGCTTTTGTGGGTGGCTTTTACGTGGGTTTTTGCGGCTTTTGTGGCTTTTCATTTCGCATCCTCTGCATTCACAGTTCCTCTCTGTTTGTCTTTGTGGGTTCATGCGGCTTTTGCGGCTTTGGCTTTTCGCATCCTCTGTATTGCCAGCTCCGCTGCGGCAGGTGGCTTTTTGGCTTTGTGGCTTTTCGCGGCTTTCTGGCTTTGGCTTTTCGCATCCTCTGCTTTCCCAGTTGGTTTTTGGCCTTGGCTTCCTGCATCCTGAGCATCGCCAGTTCCTCTCTGGTGCCCCCCGCCACACCCCTTTCGATTAAAATGCACGCCTTTTGAATCATCATTTTTTCGATCATCATGCGACAGCTACTTTTTAGATTCTTTGCCCCTAATTGAATAATCACTTTTTCGATCATCATGGGGGGCGGCAGCCCCCCCCCCCTCCAACCCCCCGCTGCTGCTTTTTAGATTGTTTTGCCCCTAATTGAATCATCACTTTTTTGATCATCATGGGGGGGCTACCGCTCCCCCCCCCCCCCCCCCGCTACTTTTTGGATTTTTGGCAGAGATTAAAATGCGCCCCTAATTGAATCATCACTTTTTCAATCATTATGGGGGGGGGGGCCGCCCCCCCCCAACCCCGCCGCTACGTTTTAGGTGTTTTGCAGGGATTAGTTTGCCCGTATTCGAATCCTCACTTTTGCCATCATGAAGGGGGCCCGCCCCTCTTTTTAACATGCATACATAAATGCCTACCTACCTTGCCGGAGAGGAACTGATGATGCTGAAGATGTGGGAAGCCAAGGCCCTCGATTTGCTGGTGATGCGGGGGATGTTGGCTGGACATGCGGGGGATGTTGAAAACGATGCTGATGATGTTGACGGACTAGCGTAACATAAGTACATTTTGCGAGAAAATGCTGTAAATTACAGCCTTTTAGTAGCCAGGACGGAAAACAACACAAGAAACCAAAAGAAATTCCCAAATTAAATCTCGGCCCTTTGTTTGTTTCAGTTATCATGTTCCACGGGTCCAGGTCTAGTTGCGCGTGTTGGTCATTTAAGCAACACGTTTGGTGATAAATATTGTGTAAGGGGACCAAGACCAAACCCAGGCAGGGGAAAACATAGTGTTAACTTGGGAGGCCGAACACTGGGGTGAGATCTTGCGCTTTTGTCGATGAGTTTCCTTTTGGTTGCTGATGTTGAAAGGAACACAACAAGCCCTGTGGGCTGGGCCTTCAACTTGTTCCTCCCAGGCCCTGCACTTGAGCCACGCCCGGAAAACCATGAGCCTTTTGCGAACTGGTTTCCTCATACTTCCCTGCTGGAGCTTGGGGTTCTTATTTGTGTGGATGTTTCTCCAAGAACAGATCCCTTTTCGGGTGGGGTGTATTCACTGGCCTCTGCTTAACTCGCCCTTTGACTTCTGCGACGTTGGTACTTGGGGCTTTGAAAAAACACAGTGCATCGCCACAGGGCGAGCTGCTAGGGATTTGCGTCAAACCTAAGGCGCTTCTTTTCAAGGCGCCATTGTTGTTGGCCCTTTTGGGCGTTGGTTCCCAAATTGAACCAACCCTCGCATATCAACTTCGGCCAGAGAACGGCAAGCTTTTTCCATCTTGGCGGACGTCGGGCGAAACAGGCGCAACACAACGCAGCATACATCCAACATGAGGCGGATAAGCTGCAAACATCACGCAACCCAATGTTCTTATCTCACCTCTGCAGATCCAAGCCGTTCTTGTTTTTCTGGGCCTGCATAAACGCTTTGGACCCTTGTTTGAGGGAGACTGCTTCAAAGAGGGTCCAAAATGTTAAAGCTTTTTTAGTCCGGGGTACATTGCTCTTTCTTGTGTTATTCCTTAGGGGCTTCCCATTTCAACCTGGACTGCCCTGTTTGCACAATGTTTGGTTCCCCCAAACGTGTAAATTTTGTCTAGGAGGTATGCCAAGCTGGTCCCAAAGGTCTACTCGTCTGGGGGCACCTCTGACAGGTGAACTTCACAGACCAAGACCTGGATGCCACTCAGATCGGAGGCGAGCAAATTCGCGATCGCACGTGCAATCCAACAGGGAAACACCCGAAATCGAGGCATTGCCTCCCGCCCAGGTGTTATCTCCTGGACGGCTCCTTTGCCGGATCAACATCTCGTAGATCACTTTGTGGCACCTTGGCGAAGGATGCTGCCGAGAGATGTTGCCTCGGCTTAGCCGGGTGCTAAAGTGGACCATGTTTCGTCCCGATGGATTGCTGTTGGGGAACTCTGGGTCCTTCATTCTAAGCGGCAATTGAACCCATAGGTATATGCTTCTGACATGCGACCCACATGTGCACATACACATATAATATGCACACCACGCAGACCCAGACCACGACGCAGAAGCAGACACGCAAAGGCACGCAAAGGGCATGCAGGCACGCAGGCCACTCATGCACGCACGCACGCCTGCCCGCCCCCCACCCCCCTCACACACATACAGACACACACACAGACACAGACGACACACACACACACAGACACACAGATACACACACAGACTCACAGACACACACAGAGACACACAGACACGCACACACACACACAGACACAGACAGACAGACACACACACACACACACACAGACACACAGACACACACAGAGACACGCAGACACACACACACAGACACAGACACAGACACAGACACGGATACGCACACAGAGACAGTCACAGGGACACACCCACACAAAGAGACACACAGAGACACACACACACACACGCAGAGACACACATGCACACAGACTGACACACACACACAAACACGCACGCACGCACGCACGCACACACGCATACACGCACACACGCATACACGCACAAACACAAACACAAATTGTCACAAATACAAACACCAAACATAAGCACAAGCACGTGACACACCACACACACACACACTCTGACACACCACACACACACTCCAAACACACACACACAAACACACAATACTAACACACACACACACACAAACACACAAACACAAACACATACACACTCACACTCTCACACTCTCACACTCTCACACTCACACACTCACACACTCACACACTCACACACTCACACAAACACCCACACAGCCACCCACACACACACACACCACTGACACACACACAAACAACCACACAAACACACAACCACACAAACACACACACACACACAACCCACACACACAAACACACACAACCACACACATAGACACAGACCACACACACACACAGACACGCAGACACACACACACACAGACACAGACACAGACACAGACACAGATACGCACACAGACACAGTCACAGGGACACACACACAAAGAGACACACAGACACACATTCACACAGACTGACACACACACAAAGCACGCACGCATACACAAACACACCATTACAAACACAAAACACAAGCACAACCACGTGACACACCACACACACACACTCCAAACACACACACACAAACACACAATACTAACACACACACACACAAACACACAAACACAAACACATACACACACACACACACAAACACACAAACACAAACACACACACACACACACACTCACACTCTCACACTGTCACACTCACACACTCACACACTCACACAAACACCCACACAGCCACCCACACACACACACACCACTGACACACAAACAACCACACAAACACACAACCACACAAACACACACACACACACAACCCACACACACACACAAACACACACAACCACACACACACACCACACACACACAGACATGCACAAGCACCAACAAAATAAGACACGCGCGCGCTGCAAACATACGCACTTGTCGAGTAGATGCAGCTGAAAGGGTGTCTTATCAAGCTGTTGCATTTCTTGATCTTAACTTTGATTATCAGCACTGACCAACTTGTTTGAAGGGCTTCTACGATCAAACTGTGACGAGCATTGCATGCAGGATGCACACGCTCACACGTTTGCACGTTGAGACAACTAAACACAGGTGAAACCGTTGGTGTTTCTATGTGTTGGGCCAACTGAGGTCTACTTGTCCGATAGCGTTGGCAACAATCGGTCACAGCTGAGCGAGCCTTTCACGCGAGAGGCAGGTGGTGTCGAAGCGAGGGACCAGGGTACATTTCCAGGTCAATTGGCTGGGCTTGATTGATTTACAAACAGTCGCAACAAACAGGTGTAGGAAATACCTGGTATTAATTGGGTTGAACTGTGTCTTAGTTGAGTTGAATTGATCGATGCCAGTCGGTGAGATGGATCTGTTTTTTGATGGTGCCGGTTTTCGGGTTGCTTCAAAAAGGAAACACTGGGAACACAAACCAACCATTTTACAGGTTTCCCCGTTCTAAACACACCCTACTGAGAACCCCTAAAAGAGCGTACATGACCCAGTTGAAAGAGCAGCGTTTTGTTTATTGTTGAAGGAATGATTTGTCGGAACCTATTATGCTTCTGAATATCCTTTTGTTTTGATTGTTTTTCAGAACCTCATAATCTATGAGGGAGTGATGCTACGGAAAAGTCAGGTCCAGGTACCCCTCTGGTAGGTGTTCTCTACTTACGAGCCTTTTTTGTTCTCCCCAGTTTCCGAATTGAATGGCTTACAGCCCAGAACAGGCTAATCTTATTCTAATCCGTAATGCTCACCGGGACATCGCCACAACAAGGGAACTCACTACCATTCGCCACAGGGATCAAGAATGAATGTTGAGGTGGGTGATAACTCCCTTCAAGGTGCTCGTTTTCCTTCCAGGTGTCGATACCCCCGGAGCTCTATTTTGCCCCGCACACGCACGTGGCGGTCTTTGGGGCCAGTGTTTTGGCGGAGCAGACGACGCCTTCCACAGTGGCGCCTGGGCAGTGATGTGTTCAGGACAAATATAGGGAACCCTTGAGGCCTTGGTCATCTTCCCAAACATGGAACTTGACCCTGGCAGACCGTGTTCCTCACGGGGCCTGGTGAGTTCTATGTGGAAGAGTACCTCGTTTTGGAATCGGAGTTCACCTCCGCGTTCTCCACTGTTCAATCCTTTGAAACCTTATAGGGGCCCTGCCCTCAACTCCAAAAGAGGGTCAAACCAGCTCCAAATTACTACCGATACGGTCTTGTAGAATTGTTGTCGAGTGGTTATGTACCAAGATTTCTCAGAGGGTAGTAGTGACGTGTGTAACTCTTGCCAGAGGTGTTTGTTGGACACCCCGGCATCCAACCAAACATCCTTCAGAAGTTCTTTTAGGTATGTCAATGACACAGAGGGAATTGATTGTTCACCTTGGAAAGCCGTCAGAAGGCCTGGGGCTCGAGAGTTGACGGCCGAGTCCACGACCCCTTTTGCGCAACGCCTTTTTGTGTGGAGAAGGCAACAACGATGGAGCGCCTACGGGGCGTGTGTTCGAGGGTTTCCTATACCTCTAAACCGGCAAACGCAGCACATGGATTGTCTCAGATACATACAACATTGGAAATCGCTTCCCCCTTTGGTTGGCGTGGCAAAAGAGAAAGCAGGAGGAAGCCAAACACTTCAGAGGGCCCCCCATTCTTGAAAACATGTTTCAGGGCTTTGGCACTTCCCACGGTTGCTGTTGTTGAGCCAAAACATTAGTTTGAGGAGATCTATGATGCCGACGCCAGCGTGACAAACATTGTCTTCCAGGACAAGGACCTGGATGAGCGCTTTGGCTGCCTTGGCCTCACGCGCCAGAGGGTCTCACCGGAGAAAACGGCCGTGGTTGGATGCGATCCCCTTTCATGGTGTGCGTTTGTTTGTGAGTTCTTCTCTTGTTGGATTGGTCTGAAGGGACCCAAGAGGAAACCAATCCTTTTTAGGGTGCCCCTATGTTGACCCATACCATTTGTGGGTTAGGGCTTTTGTCCGTTGAAGAGGAGACCCTCCCCGTAGGGGCGTATTTCGAATCCACCAGGCTGATTGGTCCAGGGTCGACATGATTCGGGCTATGTTCGGGTAATCTTAGGGTCCGACTCTTGTGCCTCTGAATCAGAGGCGAATGTTCATACCCCCAGGCACTTTCATGTGAACCCTTGGTCCTCCACAATTTTTCTTGCTAGCCATGTTGCAGATGTTCCGCCAAAAGTTGTGAAGCTTGGGATTTTCGCACCTAATGAACTTGCCCAGAGACACCCCGTGTCGGTGCGGGCCCTACAAGGTCTCTTCAATCACAACCCAGGTAGATGAGGGTTCGGGACTGTCCCAGATACAAAGAGGTGGCCACCCGTTTATTTTCGCACATGGTAGGCTTTGATTGCGACTCCCTTGATCTTCCTTGAGCGCAGGGAGCTAGGAAGCTCCGCCTCTCCGGACCAGGGGCAATGTGGGGGTACAGGGTGGTTATGACACTGCGCGAGTTTCCCGTAAAGCCAAAGAAACTACAAAATGATCGAGCGTAGAGGATAAACACTTGGTCCAGGAAGGGTTCCTTTGGTGTCCCTTCATCAGAGTTGCAAATCTGCCCTTGTACCGATCCGGTATGGGAGCAAACTACAGAGCGTACCCCCAGGTGCGATTCAAAAGGCTCAAAATACTATCAACAGAAACAAAGACAAAACAAAGCAACACTAAACAATCATGAAACACATCAACAACCCTTAAACACTATCAAAAAGCCCTTGAACCACTCCACTGCATTCCTTCAAGATGTCCAGAACACAAACCTTTCCAAGCCCAGAAATCTATTTGGTTTAAGGGCAGATCAAAGGGAAAGCACCCGGGCGACTGCCTATTGGCCCGACGAATCGAGGCTGGAGATGGGGGGCGACATCTTGTGGACTGCCCCTGCGGACTCGGAGCAGGCGAACGTGATGAATTCATACTGCGAGGGGGGTTGGTGGGGGGGTGGTATGGGAGGGGATATGAGAGTGGTTTGTGAACGCCACGAGCTCTTGCTCTCCCTTACTCGTGCCAGATGGCCAGGTGAATAACCCATGCCTACCAGGCGAACTCAATAACAACCACTTGTTTCCCAACACTGGTTGTTTTCAGGGCAACGTGCCTGGGAGAGCAAGCAGCAACTTGGCTGGGTTGGTGTATTGCAGGTTCTTCAGGTCGCCCTGTGCCTTATCCTTAGGCCTGAAAACCCCCGTATTTTTCTACAAGAGGATGGTGTAGATGGGCTCCGCTGGTAGTACCAACAAAGACACTCTCCAATTTTGTGGGTTAGATGTAGATCCCCTTTTGATGTTGTGGGGTCTTGTTGCCCCGTTTTCTCAGATCAATATTTTATTTGGCCAATGGTCACGGGTTTTCGGGCTTTCCCATTTTCCCTAGCTTCCTGTTATTGGACAACGGCAAACTGAAAACCCCAGTGCTACCCTTCATCCTACTTCCCCCGCATCCCTGCAAATTTGTTCCCCAACCATTCCCAGATCTTTTGGACTTCTTAGATCTGATGTTTTGTTAACTGCCGATCCCTTGTTCCCATTACTTGCGCCTCGGTGAGCTTTCCCCCTCAGAGCACCGGGACCCAAGCTTGAGAGGGTGCGGGCTGCCCTTATTGTGTTGAGAACCAGGTGCTTTCACAGATACTCCCCGAATTGATGTTGGGGTGTGTGACTCCCTGAAAAGTGATCCGAGAGTTGTCTCAAACTGGTTGGATGCCCCAACCAAAGTTAACCAAGGGTCTATGCGAAGCAATTTGGGTTTCCAAATTCTCAGGCTTGAAGCATACATTCCGGAGCCAGACTTCTTGCACAAGCCTTGGGGAACCTCCGATTACATCAAACATAATGCCAAAGTGTCTGTTGCAGGTCAACTAGGGATTTGCTTATCAACGTCATTTACATTGAAATGCAACATAGGGCACTGACGGTTGTTATTTTGATGGGGCTATGAATCAACCAGGGGTTGTTTATCAAGTTGGGTTCCAGTTCCGTTGTTCCATTAATCAACCAGGAGTTGTCAATGAAGCAATTGCACCTTGGTTGTTGGTTCAGCATGGCAGTTTGCCAATGCCATGTTTTCTTTAGAGTTCCTTGGTTGGGGAGGCCCATTACTTCAGCAAATTTATAGTGACCTCACAAAGGGCGTTTGCAACCTACAACCCACGATGCAGCTTTGCTTCATAATTCGACACGGGGTTGTTCAACCGCTGTAGTTGACTCAAAAGTCTCGCCCCAGGACAAATGTCAGACAACTACTGTCTTGGGTTTCCTTAAGTTCATGACCTTCACATATTGTTTGGTTCCCACTCGCAGGTCACGTACTACGGAGTTTTCCTGCGCGGGGACACGACGCTGCAAATTCCGGGCCCTGTGGGGGGACTGGTGCCTTTGGGCACGGAAAGGCGCGGCGGACGCTGGGCTGGGCATTGGGGGTGGGGGGGTTGGCGGCCACGTCAATTGAACCGGCGCTGGAAAAAGCCCTCGGCCCGTTTGGGAGGACGCTCTGTGACTTAAAGAGGCATTCTGTACCGTGGGCAGCCTAACACAAAGGTATTTGGAGATGTCTTGTGCCAGCAACTTGCAAAAGAGAATCGACTGGATCCGATCTGAAGCCTATGGGGTTCTCTGGATCATTTCTATGCAACATAGTAACATAGTACACATCCTGGCCTGCCGGCCGGCCTCAAAGCTGAGAGCTCGGATGGGGGAGCTGAACTCAGAGATGCCCCTCAACTCGCCCATGCCGAGCTTCAAATTTTTGTCATGTTTAAGTCTGTTGAGCAATGTCAAGGTTCCCAGTCTCCCTTTAAAAACTTTAGTTTGAAGTTTGAGGATGGCCGTGGCTAAGGTTGGCATGTATCCTGTGAGGTTGTTGCCGCCTTTTGGCTCCCTGTCGGTCTGACCGGGAATAAACATGACTGATATTTGTGTAGTGGCAATTGTGGGAAATGTGGGACTTTGGCAACCATTCTTCTGCGAAATCCTTGGGGAATCTCCTCATAGGGATGGGAGGTCCACTTAGGCGTCACACAGAGTACGCTTTTCCACAACCGCGGCTGCCCTTTTGGGTCGTGTTTCCTGTTTGGTGGGTGTGCTAGCACGTGGGGTGTTCGCGGAGTGAATTGTTTTGGGGTGGCAACAGTTTCCTTTTGGTTGTCCTTGAAAACCCTCGCATCGGTTGTTTGATGTTTGCCCCTTGTTTCTTATGGCCTGGGCAACAAAGGTGGACAACCAGACTGGGCAGTGGTTTCCTTCTGTCCCTTTCGACCGAGAGTGGTCCTTTTGAACCCTTGGGAAATCAACTTAAACCCTGGTACAGAGAGCTTCTACTCCGTAGAGGGCGGGTCTAGCGACGTCGCAGGTGTCCGTGTCCCTTTTTAAGGCCAAAGCAGTTTGAAAAGGAACCTTAGGCCTTGGGGTAAACGGTATACTGGCTAAACATGTCGAATCGGGGTAGTCTTTACATGTAGCCTACTGTAACTTGCAAAAATGGGGAAGGGTGCGAATTCATTTGCCAGCCATGGCACAGAACCCTTTTGGGCTGTAGTCTAGTAGTTTGCTTACTCAACTTGTGCCAAGTAGAGTTTACTTTAAATTGGAAGACGTGCAATGGGACATCTAAACGCACATGACATGTCGACTTTTACCCCCCATCCCGGCTGAATCAATGCACAAAGGTGCTGTTCCCGAAACGGGTTTCCCTTTGTTTCCAACAATAACGGTACTTGTTCCTTTAACAAAAGTTTCGCTTAAGTTGTATATTAGGTGTTCCTTTTCTCGGAGGGAAGCCAACTTTCAGGGTATGTTGAAGGAGACACCAAAGCCCGTTTGTCAAAAATGTGTCCTGTGGAAGCCAAACAGGCTCCCTTTTTGGAGCAGGGTCGCTGAACAACTGAATAGCGAGGGGAGTGGGGCGTTTGTGGACGCTACGATGTTAAAGCGCGTCGTACCCTGTATACGCTTGCACAAGATTTACTACTAGGGTTGGACCAACCCCCTAAACAAGTGCAAACACCTGTTCAATGAAGCTCCTTGTGGTTCTTGTTGGGCCAGGGGTCTGGCTTGCAATGTTTGTAGCCCAGTTCGCTAAACCCCATGGCCAGGGAGTTCCTGGCAGCGGACACGGCCATTGCCGGGTTCCAGGACGCGTGAGCGTGGGTCCTTCCCTGCCCGTAAACCCATACCCTGCAAATACATCGGGCCTAAAGAACTTGTTTTTAGGAAAAAACAAACAACTTTGACCAACAAGAATGCTGGACATGGTATTCGATATTTGAAAGATCCTGGTACTCAAAGTGAAGGCTAATTCACCAAATTTGGCTAAGAAAAAACCAGATCAACCAGTTCGTATAAGACCTGCCAAAATTTCCAAAGCCATGTCTTTTTAAACCCAAACATGAGTTCCTGGACGTTCTATCGTACTATGCGGTTCGTTACCAATATCTGACGCACTTATAATGAATGACCGTTTATTTACTCAGTGGTAAATGCAATGGACACAAATGCGTGCAATAGAAACGGTTAAACTAGTATCTAAGAATAGTAATTAATGTTTGAATGATGATACTTTATTTAGTATACTTAGAATAACACTATTATATATATACATACATGTATATTCATGTGCTATTGCAATACTGGATTTTTAAATGTGTATTACTGTGTATCATTAAGACCTACACTGTAGTTTACTAGCACAAGCAAACAAGCGCCAATGAGTTGTCAAGTACGGAGTTGCTCTAGAAGCTCAAAACCATGACCAACACACAGGGTTAGACTATTGGCAAATTAGTACTGGGTCTTCTCTTTTTCAGGGGCAAATAACTTCCCAAGGGTCACGCGGCCAAATATGGTTGGGGAGTCTTTCGGGGTACCTGGCTTTGCCCAAAGAGCCCCAAAATACTCGACGATTGGGAGCTTGGCAGGTAGCGGTTTTGGGTTGCGCTCCACGAGATAGCGTCGTCAGACTTAATTGACTGCTTTCCCTTTTGCCCGTTGGAGGTTCCTTCATTTTCTTTGTGTGTGTGTGTCTTGCTTTGCTTTGTAATCGGATACCCTTGTTGACTTCGCTTTTTAGTCGGCTTCATTTTTTAGTGGGCATCTGAGCAGAGATTCGTTTGAGGAGGTGGCCATTTTTACCCGTTCCAGTCTGGTGGAGCAGTCCACAGCTGTCGCGCTGTCCATCGAGGCGTCGGGAGAAAGGGAGGTTTGGAACTGACATATCCACAAGCTGCAGGGTTTTGTGGGTGTTTTTAGGGTCTCTAGGACCGGTTGCAGCTCCTTTGTTTGTGTTGAAGCGGGTTCCCCACGAATGCCTTTTCCCTGATAATAAGCCCCACCCCATTGAAAATCCACCCCAGCGAACAAATCGATACTTAGGGGGTTCCGAGTTCCAGACTTGAGTGTCCATGGGTGCCCAATTCATTTGTTTGGTTCACTTCTTGAGAGGGATCCTGTCCAATCAAAAAGTGTTTCAGGACGTTTTCAGGTAAGGACCAAATTCACGCAAGTAGGATTGCTTGGTGACTGGTGGCAGGGGTCCCCTAACGAGACTGCATCTGGTTCTTACTGCGGTTCTGGGAAGATGGGGGATCGTGATTATGAAGGGGAAAGGAATATACTCAATGTGGTCAACCCACAAAAGGAGTTCCTTTTTGTTCCCAAGGGTCACTGAGCAACAGGACTGCGCGCCTTTTTGACCCGTTCATAAGACTTGTTTCAGGGAAGCCTAGGCGGGTCTATTCGGGGCTCTATGGCCTTGTAAGCTAACCCAAACGAGGCCTAGGGGATTCTCCAAGTACGCTTATGCTGGGCTTATAGACGCCCCTGCCGTAGACCCCTTTGCAGGGGCCCACGTTTGTTAAGTGTTCATCCCGTGGGATTGCCTAACTTTTAACTTTTAACCAGATCCAATTTTACAGGTTGAGCTGGGAAAGCCGGTCAGGGGCAACAGAAACAAAGGGCACAAGGTATTTGACCACATTTTGAAATCGCTACGCGATCCGCCGACGCCAGTGGACAGTCCCCTATTAATAAACTGGGGCTGATCAATCTGGAGTCAGCACTGGAGAAGAACACTAGGGTCTACTCTTTAAATTACCCCCCAAAAGGGTATAAAAGCAAGGCCCCATTTTTTTGTAAGTACAACAAGGCCTTCTTGGCACTTTCCTGTTTCTCATGTCCCAGATGCTGAGGATGCTGGAAATGCAAGGGATGCAACCACAGAACTTACACGAACAGACCCAATCTTCTCACTCAAGATTTTAAGACTTTCGGACACGCACCATTGACCGAACACAGAAATTACCAGAGACGTGGGGAATGCTGGGAATGCAACCGGCTAGCCACAAAAAAGTGCAAAAAGCCAGGTTTTTTTGTTTCTCGATATTTCCCAAAAGCAACCATCAAAAACCGATACTAGCAACCCCCCCCCCCCTACCATAAATATAGACTTCCAAAAGCACGATAATGCACAGGATGTTTCGCAGTAACTGCTCCGTACAGGTTGGGGGATTGCAAAAAACACTCATTTTTTGCAAATTTCAACAGTTCTTCAAAGTATCACTGCTTGGCCCCACCCAAACCCCTAACAGGCCAATTCCAACATCGCTTGAAACAGCAAAACGCGACTAGCATCTGCAAAAAAGAGACAAACTCGTGGCAACAAGATAATCCTGATGATGCTGGCGATGCAGATCCTGCGCGTCCGGGGGAACCTCCCCCCCCCCTAGAGACCTAGGCGAAACGCATATTTTTAGCACGAAAGACCCAAAAACACTGGAAACACACAGGGTTTTGGACACCTATCACAGCATGCCCAAAAAATAGCAGTCCCAAAAGCCTTGCCATCTACACGCTCAACTGGCGTCGGCGAATTAATTTAGCCCATTGATATTATCTCTCTCTGGAGCTCTTGGGGAGGATTGGGATTTCTCCGAGGGTGATTTCAATCACTGGCGCCATCCGGAAGGGATGCCCGCTTTAGCTTGCACAGGCCGTGTATTTGGAGATTTTGGAGGAAGGTTGGACAAAACACACACACACATACACGCATACACACAGACACACCCACACACACACACAGACACACAGACACACAGACACAGACACACAGAGACGCAGAGACGCAGCGACGCAGAGACACAGAGACGCAGAGACGCAGCGACGCAGAGACACAGACGCACCCACCCACACCCACGCCCGCGCACAGACACACCTCCCAACCCCATGCCGGAAAGTGCTTCTAGGTGATGCCGCGTTTGGCAGGGGCGCTTTCAGGTTTCGGTGTATTTGTGTCAGGGTATGGAGGTCACACTCCACTTCAGAAGTTGTTGTCTTGACTTACAAGCTTGTGTTGGTGGTATAGAATCAACTAAGCCATAAAGTACCTTTTTTTTACTCATTCCTGAGAATCGCTGTGTGTGTGTGTGTGTGCGTGTGTCTATTTTGAGGTACGGGGCGGTTTCATTGGTATCACCCCAATCTCACGAGGATGAGATCGCCTCGGTGTCCACGGTGACCTTCCAGGACGCAGACCAGGAGCCGAGCGTTGCCAGTGCGCACGGGTCTGGATGGCTTGTTGGTTTTCAGGTTGGCACCTTTTGGTGGGGTATGTTAAGATGAAAACAAAGGGAAACGACTGACGCGTGTTCATTTTGGGAATTCCAAAGATTCTTCATGAGACAGGCCTAGCTGGTTTCGGTGTCGGAGTCGAAGGCTGTTCAAAGTCGCAATCCGCAACTGCTGCATATTTGGCTGCGCGCATCTTGGGAACCAAGCAACCGAAAAATTACACAGGAGGCTAGCCGCATTGTCATGTGTTTTTGATTTGAAACTACACCCGTTGTCTTCAAACTCCTCACTTTGTTCAGGAAGAGCGATGCATGGATTATGGAATCGTCCGCAAATAAAAGGTGGAACCCGCAAATGGGAGATGGGGTTCCCTTTAAAGCGACCTAGGAACCAACTCCAGAAAAGAGGAACCACGGCAAAGCCCAAAAAGGATCCTTTGGGAGAACAAATCAGCCCTCGCTCGTATCGACACCCGAAGGCAGAAAACACGACCGCAGGGCATGGGGGTGGGGTGGTTCTCTTGTAAAAATAGGGGTTGTAACCATCAAAAGGGCACGAAGGCTCTCCTGAGTTCCCTTTTAGAGCGCCCCAACTGATGGATTTTACAGGCGAAATCAAGTCCCAACCAGGACATCGACATGCTCGGGGGTCGCATCCAGTGGCAACTTCCCAACGACACCTCGGAGGTCCGCATTGGGCAGGGTGAGAGAGACGACATGATCCAGACTCGCCATGGGCCCAGGTCTGATAGTACAGTCATGCCGTTCAGCGTGCTAAGAAATCTTAGTAAACAAGAAACGAGACTCTCGCTTGGCCAGCAGGTAAATGTTCCAGAGTCTCGGAGCCCCCAAAACCCCCATTTCTGTTCAACCAGGCAGCTTATAAATATATATATATATCTACCAAAGTGACGGATTGTCAATTAGAAACGGCTATCTCCCAGCTCCGAACTGCTTCATCAAGATACTCAGCTCATTCACAAAAGTGTAGAGGCCAGGAAACAGGTCTGAACCCAGTCTGAACGAAGCCCAAACTATTTATTGGGGGACATCAGGTGGTGGGCTTCATTGTGCCATCTTATGTGCCACATCTTGAGGTGACGGGTGCGATTGGGTGCGCTTGTTTTCTTCCTTGCGCATCGGCTACTAACCTGCATGGTCTTGGCCGCCGGAGGCCACCTTCCCATGTCCCAGAATTGACTAATTTCAGACTGGTATCAGACTGGTATCAGGCCTCTTTGAGTAGTCGAAAGGGCAAAAACAAGTCTCCACTCTTGAACACGTGCGATTCCCTCAAAATCTACGCAGCAAAGTTAAGACCCCCTTATATTTTACCACCCAGAGTCTCGACAAAACCTGATATTTCTCAACTCTACCGGCAAGTTAATAAATGTGCAAGACTCTCGACCGTACAAAGGGATTTCTTATCACACAACATGACACGAGCGTAGTCTGATTGACCTTTACTTCATTTAGTTTTATTCATGTTTGGTGCGTAGTTCTCCCCATCCCTCTGAGCAGGGACGGCCAGGGATGGTTTGCAAATGAGCACCACGTACCGCAAAACGGATTGCACATGATCCAGTTTGGGTTGGCACCGCTCAGTGCTTCCCTTCGGGTGCGGGTATAGCTGCAAAGCTTGTCTTTGGGCCCGCATGTTTTTTTTCCCTTTCCAACACGATGCCCAGGCGCCGCAGAAGCAGAAAGGTACATACAGGGGATAAGGGGAATTAGCAAGGGGCACGCAACCACCAAGACCTTCCGCAACTGCAACCCCTCTGCAACAATCAGCTTCCCTGACCCTTGTGCCTTCTTTTGGCGTTGATCGACCGAAAAAGCCGTCCTTGGAGTAAAAACCCTGTCAAACGGGGTCATGAAATTCAAATGACAGGCACCCAACCATAGCTTTTTTCGGGGAGACCTCCTTTGGAATACCTTTGCTTTGGGCATTTGTGTCTTTAACGACCCTCTTTCTCCAGTTTTGGAACACACCAGATCCCCCAATTTGAGCAGGAGTTTCCTGTGGCTGGGATTTGCCCCTGTTGGATCGACGGCTTTTCAATGGCTTTTGATGGAGCCCCCGCCACCAAAGAGGCATCCAACTCCTTCTAATAAGAGGGCTTTGCAAGACTGTTTTTTGGAGGAACCCCTGTCTACTTCAATGGTTTTTGTTGAAAACGGTACTCGCTTTGGCATTGACCGAACATGGTCTCAAGAATGGCAAGGTTTTATCTGGAAAAAGCCGTGTCCCTCCCCTCACAATCAGTGGAAGGTGGACTTCTACGTGGGCTACTTCGCCGCTTCCCCAGGCGCGAACGATCCCAACGATGCCTCCGCGCGGCGCTTTGAGCCGGCACCCCCAGTCGTGGACCGGGCTTCGTATGGGAGTCACAAACAAGATTTGGAGGGCTTTGGATCCCCCACATGGGTGGGCTTTCCGTCTGCAT